TTAGACAGGGGAGTAGTTTTTTTCTGATAGGTCTCAGTCCATCACCATACAGTGCAGGGAGTTGAGACTGGCCTGTACGAATTGTTCCTTCAGATGATTTGGTTCAACAATCATATCATTGTTAAACATTGTGCATTTATTTTGTAATGAATGTAGTTATACGAGTATAATCCTCAAAAAAAAGTTGAATGCAAACTCTTGATTCAATTAGCTTTTACCTCACTATCTGATTCACCATAACTGACAATCGCCGAGTTCTTTTCTTCATCCAAAAGATTTATTTCTGTATTACATTGCAGCAAAATATTATCTATTGCAGTGGGTACTTCTATTGTGAGGTGATATGTTGAGGNATGTACGATGGAAGTGATGGAAAAAATGGCAATGAAAAAATAGAAAAAAGTACCTACGTATATTGGTGAAAATTTATACTTGTGTAAAAGGAATTTCATATCCGATTAAATGGTTGAAAAAAATATACAGGATTTAAAATTTGCTTTCATTTCCAGATGTTCTCGAATGATCAGAGAGGCTATCAAAATTGAAAAACGACTCAATAGTATGAATGGAAGGGAGCAAAAATCAGCAAAAATCAGCAAAATCAGATAATTCAGACATAATGAGAAACAAAGGCAGACCAGCACAGGTAATCAAACCAACGTAGGTAGGGGAAACAACTCAGGTGAAAGATACCTGCAATATCTTTTGGATGAAGATCATGAACACACATAATACAAAGGTTTGATAAGTATTCGAAATGATGTTATTTTGAATCACTAGTAAATTATATCTTCAGATATTTGTTTGATTTTATGTTTTTAAAAAACTAAAATTAAAGCATTTTGTTTTTTAACGATTGGAATAAACTGATGAATATACATATTTTTTATTGATTGTGATACTAGTAGTAGTTTACTAAATACATGATCATGATGCCTTCACATAGCCACCCACTCTGCGACCCGATCGACTATTTTATCTCCTGAATATTTGGATCTTGAGAGCTTATATTCTGTTCTGACCTTTCAAACCTAGAAAAGGTGACACAGCAACAAAACGCTAGTTTAAAATCAACTTCCCGCTGCAATGATATTACCCCGTCAATGTTGAGTGGCACCAGCAACTACCATTCACATACTTCCTATCCATCCCATAAATGACGTTTCCGTGGTCACCGTGTTCCCTCCATACTGAGAGTTGTATTTGTTGAAGACAGCTAAGTCCCAACAAGGTACTCATGACCCAACTGATGACTTTTATGGTAGATCGAAACAGCTGAGTCTGAGTAGTAAACCATATCGAGAAGAATGAAGAATGAAATGCAGAGATAGCACTGATGCTGGCGAGTCGCACCTACGGTTGAAGTTTCAAACCGCCGAAAATCTAGNTCATGTAGACACTCCAAACTGATGAATGATAATGATGATTTATGCATCTCTCAATCCTCTACTAAGCAAATCAAATATTGAAGAGATATAAGAGAGCGTTAGCTAAAGGTCGGAAATTCGAATTAAATTATCATTCAAATCCAAGAGAACAATAAATATGGTAGCCGATGAAAAATATGACGTGAAACTTTATTATTCTCATTCCTTCAAAAATCTGCGCACCCATTCAACTCTTGTCAATGATTACTCAGTTAATGATTGTTGATACGGATTGGAGACGAGAAGTGAGTGTAGTTTTCAACGAACTGATAAAAAACAGCTTTAACATTCATCTGCCATCTAATTCCAAACTAATTTCATTCCATGTCACAAAATCATTCCCAAGCATTCCTCCAGAAGATTCTCACAAACTTATAGATGAAATAATTCTATTCATACGTATCCAATAATTCATTCGAATATCCTCCTACTGCTGTTAGTATATCTCAACCAAAATTATTTCCAATTTTGAAATACCACATATAACAACATAGAAGGTCTTATAATGAATAATTCTTTAAGCCCTCTCCTAACTGAAATGTTCATAAACAACTTAGAAAAAACTATACATTAGCATGCAATTTTCCAAAAATGTATTTACTGGTATACGTATGTTCACGATGTGAATTATCTATGTGTTCACAGGAATACATATATAATTACAGTTATTTTTCCAATAAATCAACTTTATTCATGGGAACATTAAGTCGACAAAAAAACTAAAAACCAATAACTCAATAAACTTTTCAGACCTCACAATTTCAAAAATTAATAACGAATAGGATTTCACAATTTACCATAAACCAACCTCTACAGACACAACCATAAACAACTATTTTAATCACTAACAGCAACATATACTTATTAGCAGCTCACCACAGTATGATCCACAAACTTATCAGCATACTAATGTCAACAGAGAATTTCGAGAAGGAATTGAATCTGATGAAACAAATTGCGCTGAATAACGATTTCAACCCGAATGTAATTCATCACATCCATCATACAAAACGTTTCAAATGAGCTATTAATCAAGTACACCCTCACAATACTGGTACCTTCAAAACACTCTCATATACCGGAAAAACATTACATAAAATGGATAGAGTACTGATTAAACAAACTATCAACATAGCATTATAAGACTGGTAACTCATTGGCTGGAAAGATGAATGAGAGTTTCATGAGTTCGGACTTAAATTGTCTAATATGATTTTACTGCGATTCGAAATCTATGAAAAAACGAATATTAGAATGAATAGCTGAAATATCGATTATATTGAGCAACAAAACTTGAAATGAAAATACAATAATACGAATAAAATAATCAAGAAAAAAAATTTAAATGACGACAGACTAAAATCATTCAAAAAATTCACAAAAAGAGTTCAAACCAATTTACTTCACTGAAAGCTTCAAGTCTGATTAAGATACGTTAACGACACCTTCATGGAAATACAGAACCAGACACCTTCCTGAGGCACATCGACAGCGTAAGACCTTCCATCACCTTCACAATGAGGAAGGAAGTCCACAACAAATTTCCATTCTCAGACGTATTGATGAAGAAGACTGACACTAAGTGGGAAACATCTGTATACTGAAACCCACTCACACGGGACATTATCTGAATCACGAGTCCAACCACTATCAATAAACCAAAAGAGAAATCATCAAGATTTTAGTGGATAGTGCTTTCGAGCTCTGAATATAGAGGAAAGTCTCGAGAAGAAATTAGACATCATCAAAAAAAATCAGCGGAATTGTTACTCCAAAGTTATGGTGGAACAGGCTTTGGCTAAAAGACAGCAAGAGTCTCGCGAGGAAGAGAAGCAGTCACAAGCAGAGCTTTCACTTTCCTACGCCAGGGGATTGTCGGAAAGAATAAAAAGAACTGGGTCCAAGTACAACATCAGAACCCGTTTCAGATCCGAAAACATCATCCGTGGCAGCCTCACGAAAAACAGTCCACCTAACGCGGACTGCGATTCCAAAAATTGCATTTATCGGATACCCTGTGACTGCAGCAAATCCTATATCGTAAAAACTAAGAGGTCTTTGAAAGCTCGCATTGCTGAGCACAAGAAAAACACACAACGAAGAGAAACCAGCAAATCGGGAATAGCAGTCACCACTTTCAAATGAAGATGAATAACAACAAATCACACATAGACAAGGATAACAGATAGGGTGTCTACAAACGAATCATGCACGAAAGGACTAACAAGTAATTTTAAATTGAGAGTTTTCGAACATAGAATAAGTTTTAAACTGAAGATGACCATTCCACCTATGCATGCTACCTTTTGGAAAACGATCCCGATTCCAATAATATGTACAACATACTCCATGTAGAAGGTAAGGGACAGACGTTCAACCTGCTGGAGTATCTGAAAATCAACGACGGTGAACGTTCGGGTTCCCTGTCGAACGATCAACATGAGGTTGACCACTCAACCAATAAACCACATAAACCTGTGGAAGCGGTAACAATTGATATCATTCCAGAGAAGGTAATAATCTGTCTGTCAGGTTCCAGATTAACACAAGAACACATGAATTACTTGAATAAATGTTAATGTACAGAGAATTTTGTGAATGTTTTCAGTTCTGCTTCAATTCGTTGAATCCGAGTCTGTTTCTCACTGATTCCTTCATTAGGGGAATTTCAATCAGTTTGATCGTTTTTCCACTGCATCGGTTCTGAAAGTGTTCTGAAAGTTCCTCCAAAGTAGATGAAAGCTTTCACTTCTTTTTTTGTTATTTCACTCGTATCCGTGTCTTCAATATTTCTACTGATCTGATGATATGAAGTTTGATCAATACCACTTGCTTTTTCTAGTGACTTGTGAGGGAAGCTATTAGGTGTCGGAGGAGCTGTTGTATTTTGCTATTAGGTCTATTTCGTATTGTAATTCATCTACAGCATATACATACATATTATAACCTACAGTTCATTTTCTTTTCTGACTTGGGTTAGATTTCAAACTCACTTCTTCATCAATACATATCGAATAAATAAATAACCAATGCTCAACAATCATTTTTCACCAATCAAAGGTTGGTTACCTCGTTCACAAGCAGATGGGGCGATGACATACATGTTATTTGTTGTCCGTTTCAGCCTAATTCGAGAAATGATAGTCTGAAGGAATTCGATTTTCTATTATCGGAAATCATCGACTTTATGTTAATGATAGACATTACCTTACATTGACGAGTGGCCAAACAGCCCGAAACCGGTCTGCAAGTGTGTTCCAATAATTGAAAATCTATTGCAGCATATGCAGGAATAACTTCAGTGAAGAATAATGCACTGACACCTGTCGGATAGAATCCAACGCTCTTCATGGTATTAGACCGGGGAATAGTTTTTTTCTGATAGGTGTCAGTCCATCAACATACAGTGCAGGGAGATGAGACTGGCCTGTACGAATTGTTCCTTCAGATGATTTGGTTCAACAATCATATCATTGTTAAACATTGTTTATTTATTTTGTAATGAATGTGGTTATACGAGTATAATCCTCAAAAAAAAGTTGAATGCAAACTCTTGATTCAATTAGCTTTTACCTCACTATCTGATTCACCATAACTGACAATCGCCGAGTTCTTTTCTTCATCCAAAAGATTTATTTCTGTATTACATTGCAGCAAAATATTATCTATTGCAGTGGGTACTTCTATTGTGAGGTGATATGTTGAGTTTTTCGTGTCTAGAATAAACTTTAAACAGAAAAAAATCGTATTATCTCAATCGTAGTCTCATTCATAGTTTTTTACTCACCGACTCCTTGACCATCAATAAAGGAATTGCAGAAACGTCATCAAAGTTTGTTTGAGTTGATAAATGATATTTTTCCCGTTCCCTGAGAACCTTACTCTTGAGTTCTTCTATGTCAGCCCTACAAATGAAACTTCGAATTTTAAAAATGTACGCGGTATGGTTTATGAGGAGTGATTCAAATAGAACTGTTTAGTGTATGTTCTACCATACCAAATTCATGGCATCTTTGATACTCAAATAAAAAAGATTTTGAGTTCAACAGAACGTGAAGAAGCAATAATTTTTTTATCGATATTCTGCTTTCCTTTATATATTTTTCAATCGATATATCAGTATCATAACATTTTCAGTGAGGATGATCTTTACATCTGCCATTGAAGTACAATTTCAAATGTAGAGATATTTATTATCTTCTTCGAAATGTCTGTGTATCTATAGAAAATTCAATTTCAATCATGGAACTGAGTTGAACAGTACTTTGAATCTTCATTTTTCTCAAATGAAAAGTGGAAATAGAACCTACGATGTAGAACTGACCAAAACCACTTCTTTTCCACATCATCATTTCGCCACTTTTCCTAAAGTGCCTTTCACCAACTATAGTTTGCGTCATCAGATAGTAAATTATAGTTGATAGTGCAATATTAGAGGTGACTATTTCCGTTAAGTAGTACTGTAGAACTCAAAAAACCAAAGAAACCCTGTTGTATTAAAATTTTCAAGAAACATCACTTTTGTTGATTCTACCAAACTTCCCACAAAATACCACAACCACATACCACATGGGCCATTCAATCGTTTATCACGTAAGAGATTCGAAATCTTGAATTATCAGGAATCACTTGAAAATCTATGGAGTGGTAACCGAAAATGAACCCAAGAAGTTTAAATATAAATCTGTATATATTTTTTGACCATTCAATTGGATATAGACTACTCTTTTCTACGATATAACGCATGTGGCTATTCCCATTCGAAATGGCGGCGTAGGAGCCATTTCCTCCAGCAACACTATGATATTATCTATGTACAGGGATATTGTCAACAACTTGATGAAGGGAGGAACAAATGAAAGAATTTTCTCTATTTCTGAATGAGAATTCAAGAATAGAATTTTTTGGCAATACACGTACTTTTTCGTAATTATTTTCAAATGATATATTCCACTTCATTTATTTCAAAAATTTTAATAAAATTTCCTCTTCTATGCTACAAAAAAATTCGAATATACCGTGCTGTTCATTTTCCTAAAACGGTGAAAAAGTTAGTAAGTAATTATCAACTAACAATGACATAGATCAGCTTTGACAACTTAACTTTTTCACTGGCATACAAAAATGGACAACATAATATGATTAACATTTTTTGTAGTAAAAAGGTTCACTTTGATATCAAAATTGAAAAATATCACTTCCTATCAAGATGTACGATGGAAGTGATGAAAAAAATGGCAATGAAAAAATAGAAAAAAGTACCTACGTATATTGGTGAAAATTTATACTTGTGTAAAAGGAATTTCATATCCGATTAAATGGTTGAAAAAAATATACAGGATTTAAAATTTGCTTTCATTTCCGGTTCGAGATGTTCTCGAATAATCAGAGAGGCTATCGAAATTGTAAAACGACTCAATAGTATGAATGGAAGGGAGCAAAAATCAGCACGTGATAATTCAGACATAATGACAAACAAAGGCAGACCAGCACAGGTAATCAAACCAACGTAGGTAGGGGAAACAACTCAGGTGAAAGATACCTGGCACACGTATAAACTAAGGAATAGAGTTCCGGAGAATCAGTATAGGTCCAAACTCCAGACATAACTAACTACAAACTCCAGCATAACAAAACAAATATCTTTTGGATGAAGATCATGAACACACATAATACAAAGGTTTGATAAGTATTCGAAATGATGTTATTTTGAATCACTAGTAAATTATATCTTCAGATATTTGTTTGATTTTATGTTTTTAAAGAACGAAAATTAAAGCATTTTGTTTTTTAACGATTGGAGTAAACTGATGAATATACATATTTTTTATTGATTGTGATACTAGTAGTAGTTTACTAAATACCTTCACATAGCCACCCACCCACAAGGTAATCATGACCCAACTGATGAGTTTTATGGTAGATCGAAACAGCTGAGTCTGAGTAGTAAACCATATCGAGAAGAATGAAGAATGAAATGCAGAGATAGCACTGATGCTGGCGAGTCGCACCTACGGTTGAAGTTTCAAACCGCCGAAAATGTAGATTGAACAGTCACCATGGGAACATACTTGGCAGAAACTCCTGGTATGCAGACGGGAGGAAAACCGAATGTGAAATGGGAGCTAGAATTCACTGGGTGGAGAGAAATCTGCATTTCAGGTACCCACTCGGTCAGTACACAACATTCTTCCCGGCTGAAGTGTATGCATCTCACAATGCGCGAGGATCATTAATTTGAGGCCTCAATGAAATCAACAGATCAATATTTCCTCAAACAGTCAAAATGCACTTGGGAAACTGACGAATCCAAAATTAATATCGAGACTGGTCCGAGAATGACGTGAAAAACCGTGGAAACTGGGGGACAGGACTATTTTGCCTATATATCGGGTACCAGGATACTCAGGTATCGCTGGCACTCAAAAAGATTATAAGTGTGCCAGATACGGATCATCAACTCCATAAATAGGTGACCCAGCTGTGGGGTTACCAAAATCTTCGGTACGGAACCACATTGAACGTATGGGCCTATAAAACCATGAAAAGCTACATGAACATGCAAAAATTCAGCAAGTCAAATGGCTTTCAAATAGTAAAAAAAAAATCATACAATGTTTCACATTATTATGCAAGATATGTATGGAAAATCATTTTGATTTTTCATAATTGTTACTATTGTAATATATAGATAATTTACTTGAGACCAAATATCTTTTGAGAAGCATCGGCGGAAGCCATATAACTGCCTGTTGAGTTGTCCATATCACCATCTATACTTTTAGTTGTGAGTCCGAATATTCTTCCTGTATATGTCACCACAAGTATTTCCTCATGTCCTTGGAATCCAACAACCCCACATTGTAAAGAAGTTATACTTTCGTTACAATTCTGAAAAAAAAATCATTATGTTGACACAAGAATTAAACTTTTTCCAATCACACAAATCTTCGAATCCAAAAGACAATACATATTGAAAAAGTTCTCTCACTGGTTTTTGTTATGACTAATGAATGGGTTTTTCCAAATTGAAAGTAGTGTCGATGAAGACGAATAAGTTACAAAAACAATTGAATTCAAATAACGCTGCATCACGAGAGAAAAATGTCAAATGATACCATATGGCTGTTGTTGAAAGCAGACGTGAATGATAGTGCTCTGCAATTCAAGTTAAATACACAGGTTTAACGGTAGTTTACCCAGTTTATAGTGCTGAATATTCCTGGTGAGTGATATCTTTGTCCAATACTGCCATGTCAACACGTCAAAAAACGGAGTTTGAAAAGAGTCTTGTAGATGCCTTAAAGTCTGCGAATGTGGCTAACGCAATAAGTGAGGCAATTATTAACTTTATTACAAGTACATTAGCGGACAAATTCAACTTTTATGACACAAAAAATGCTTCTTTAGAAGCTGAAATCCAATTATTGAAGTCCAATGATTCTAATTCGAACAATATAAAAGAAGAATGTCGAAAGAAACTTGAACAAAAAGTAGACACTATTCAGCAAACCACAAAAAATAATAACATCCGATTGATGGCCTTTGATGAATCGGAGAATGAAAATATTGTAAAAAAGGTCAAAGATCTTTTTGTTAATCAATTCAAGGTTCCTGTTAATGAAGAAATTGTTTCGGCATATCGTGTAGGCAAAAAGAGTGATGACCACCCCAGACATGTTGTTGTTATTTTAAATGACATTAAAATGAAAAATATGATATATAATAAGAAAAATTCACCACAAGTATTTCCTCATGTCCTTGGAATCCAACAACCCCACATTGTAAAGAAGTTATACTTTCGTTACAATTCTAAAAAAAAAATCATTATGTTGACACAAGAATTAAACTTTTTCCAATCAAACAAATCTTCGAATCCAAAAGACAATACATATTGAAAAAGTTATCTCACTGGTTTTTGTTATGACTAATGAATGGGTTTTTCCAAATTGAAAGTAGTGTAGATGAAGACGAATAAGTTACAAAAACAATTGAATTCAAATAACGCTGCATCACGAGAGAAAAATGTCAAATGATATTGACTTTTCTGTAAAATATATTTCTGTATACAGAATCAACAATCAAATTTGGGGAATTTGCAAATGTAATGTCCGTTGGAACAATATTCATTCCATGAATTGATACATTTTCTGTCGGAATGTTTCCTATAAGTGATCAAATGACCACATATATATTTTCAGGTTACATCAAATAGATGTATCTGAGGAAGTGTTCAATAAAAAAACAAATTATCTAATTGACTATTTTGTTAACAAAAATCTAATTAGATTGTTTCTCATTTGAAATCACAATTCCATAAATGAATGATAATAATGATTTATGCATCTCTCAATCCTCTACTAAGCAAATCAAATATTGAAGAGATATAAGAGAGCGTTAGCTAAAGGTCGGAAATTCGAATTAAATTATCATTCAAATCCAAGAGAACAATAAATATGGTAGCCGATGAAAAATATGACGTGAAACTTTATTATTCTCATTCCTTCAAAAATCTGCGCACCCATTCAACTCTTGTCAATGATTACTCACTTAATGATTGTTGATACGGATTGGAGACGAGAAGTGAGTGTAGTTTTCAACGAACTGATAAAAAACATCGTTAACATTCATCTGCCATCTAATTCCAAACTAATTTCATTCCATGTCACAAAATCATTCCCAAGCATTCCTCCAGAAGATTCTCACAAACTTATAGATGAAATAATTCTATTCATACGTATCCAATAATTCATTCGAATATCCTCCTACTGCTGTTAGTATATCTCAACCAAAATTATTTCCAATTTTGAAATACCACATATAACAACATAGAAGGTCTTATAATGAATAATTCTCTAAGCCCTCTCCTAACTGAAATGTTCATAAACAACTTAGAAAAAACTATACATTAGCATGCAATTTTCCAAAAATGTATTTACTGGTATACGTATGTTCACGATGTGAATTATCTATGTGTTCACAGGAATACATAGATAATTACAGTTATTTTTCCAATAAATCAACTTTATTCATGGGAACATTAAGTCGACAAAAAAACTAAAAACCAATAACTCAATAAACTTTTCAGACCTCACAATTTCAAAAATTAATAACGAATAGGATTTCACAATTTACCATAAACCAACCTCTAGAGACACAACCATAAACAACTATTTTAATCACTAACAGCAACATATACTTATTAGCAGCTCACCACAGTATGATCCACAAACTTATCAGTCATTCTTAGACGTATTGGTGAAGAAGACTGACACTAAGTGGGAAACATCTGTATACTGAAACCCACTCACACGGGACATTATCTGAATCACGAGTCCAACCACTATCAATAAATCAAAAGAGAAATCATCAAGACTTTAGTGGGTAGTGCTTTCGAGCTCTGAATATAGAGGAAAGTCTCGAGAAGAAATTAGAAATCATCAAAAAAATCAGCGGAATTGTTACTCCAGAGTTATAGTGGAACAGGCTTTGGCTAAAAGACAGCAAGAGTCTCGCGAGGAAGAGGAGCAGTCACAAGCAGAGCTTTCACTTTCCTACGCCAGGGGATTGTCGGAAAGAATAAAAAGAACTGGGTCCAAGTACAACATCAAAACCCGTTTCAGATCCGGAAACATCATCCGTGGCAGCCTCACGAAAAACAGGCCACCAAACGCGGACTGCGATTCCAAAAATTGCATTTATCGGATACCCTGTGAATGCAGTAAATCCTATATCGTAAAAATTAAGAGGACATTGAGAACTCGCATTGCTGGGCACAAGAAAAACACACAGCGAAGAGAAACCAGCAAATCGGGAATAGCAGTCACCACTTTCAAATGAAGATGAATAACAACAAATCACACATAGACAAGGATAACAGATAGGGTGTCTACAAACATGCGAATCATGCACGAAAGGACTAACGAGTAATTTTAAATTGAGAATTTTCGAACATGGGATAAGTTTTGAACAGAAGATGACCAATTCCACCTATGCATGCTACCTTTTGGAAAACGATCCCGATTCCAACACTATGTACAACATACTCCATATAGAAGGTAAGGGACAGACGTTTAACCTGCTGGAGTATCTGAAAATCAACGACGGTGAAGGTTGAAGTTGACCACTCAACTTTGTTAATGCTTTTTTCGTTATACCAATAATTTCATTCATATCCAAAAATTTACCTTCTGTCCAAAAACTTAATGGAAGATATTTGGTCTAAAATTTTTCTAAAATCCATTTCTTTATCCACATCTACATTCCAGATTCATAAAATATTGCTGTAATATATCGTCGAAAGTAACGGTTTTAGCACCGTATGTAGTATCTCTCATTTTTCTGATGCTATCGTCTATATTAACCTGATGCTGACGATTCGATAGATAACTTTCTAATAAGGAATAAGAATTTCATATGATGCTATGATGCAGAAACTCTTCATAACATACCGTATTGAAGGCTATTGACAGGTCAACCAATAAACAAAGCGACGGGGTTTTGGAATCGATTGATTTATATTTTTTTTTTTTTGTAATGCATATTCAGCGTCTTTTGTGTATATTCTCTCTCAAAAACCATATCGATTACCGGAAATCAAGTTGAATTTGTTTAGAAACTTCAGTATACTGGTTTTTATTATCTTCTCTTTGATGCTTGCTATTTTTTGAATTGACTATTAACAGATATTCCAGAGTTCCTTGGTTGATGTTCATTGAGCTCAAAAATATCGCTATAGATAATGGTCAGTGATGTTATATGTGAATATAAAGGATTGTATATTTCCTGTATATTGCTTTCGAAGTAGGAGTGATCCAAACAAGGCTGACTTTTGATTAATATATGAATGGAAGTTGAAGGAAAGGAATAGTATACGATAGTATTCCTCAATGCAATCTAATTCTGGGAGGTGGTTGATATTGATGTCTCCTCTTATAATATGGGTGGTATTTTCCTCAAATTCAAGATATTCAGATCTGGGAAATGTATATACAGCAGTAACGGTTATTTCATTTCCAAAAATGGAAAATAAAACAGCATTCGCGTCTTCGATTTCAACTAACTTGGACGTGAACCTAATTTTTTGAATGTATCATTTTAAGGTTATGTTTCTCATTACCTTCTCTTGAATGACATCAATTGTTGCCACTTCCACAGGTTTATTTTCATATTCATTGAAGTTAGGTTCCAGATTAACACAAGAACACATGAATTACTTGAATAAATGTTAATGTACAGAGAATTTTGTGAATGTTTTCAGGTTTGCTTCTATTCATTGAATCCGAGTTTCTCACTGATTCCTTTATTAGGGGAATTTTCAATCAGTTTGATCGTTTTTCCACTGCATCAGTTCTGAAAGTGTCTTTAAATTCCTGCGAAGTAGATGAAAGCTTTCACTTCTTTTTTTGTTATTTCACTCGTATCCGTGTATTCAATATTTCTACTGATCTGATGATATGAAGTTTGATCAATACTACTTGCTTTTTCTAGTGACTTGTGAGAGAAGCTATTAGGTGTCGGAGGGGCTGTTGTATTTTGCTATTAGGTCTATTTCGTACTGTAATTCATCTACAGCATATACATACATATTATAACATACAGTTCATTTTCTTTTCTGACTTGGGTTAGATTGACTCTCAGAACTTTATTTCCATATCACCTTCCACGGTTAGGTCATTTACAATGAATATTCCTAAGCCTTTCAACTTTTGACAATTTTAGATGATAATTGGCAACAGTGAGTAGAAGCCAGTACACAATTTTTTTTTCCATTACTCAAAATTTTCAAATCAACTTCAGATGTGTCAAATTCATCTTCTCAATGAATTTTTTATATATTCATGGTCCAGGATTGTAACTATTCTTCATAACTTTCAACTGATCATTATTTTGATATGACTGTTTGTTTTTTGACTTCTGAGTACAAAGTGTACGTGAATGGACAGGTGTTAATGATATTTATTTTCAAGAGAACTGAGATTTTTTTCATTTTTTCGAGTCGTTTTTGTAACATCTTGATAGATAATAAAAATGTAAACTACTTTCTGAAATGAAGTTTCCGTTTTTTTTTCAATTTTGACGTTCAATGTGATATTATGTTTTAGCCTAAGGGTGATACTAGAATTCTCAGAAATATTTTTTTATATTGAATACATCGTCACTCAAAGAACCATTGTGACAATGACTGCCAACGCATTGATGAAATTCAAATTTTGTGTTGTTCAAGTGGTTCGAAGATTGAGTTTTCAGCCTTCATAGTGTTTATGTTTTGAATTTGAGGATATAATATAAAATGATTATTGATAAAAAAAAATATTATTCAACAATTTCTAGTCTATTTGACCTCTCATGCTAACTATAATAACTTACATATTTGAAAATCAATCTAGTATCTTCTACATCTTCTTTCAGATTAACGGAGTAAATTTCAACATTTCCATCCATCCTTCCAATAATCAGTTGTTTCCTTCCTAGGTCACTTAAGTCATAAGAGTCTATGGCACCAATTGGACTTTTATTGAATTCGTTCGATAAAAGCCAACTTTGAAAACCTTTCAAGCTGTAAAAATAAGATCATTATCACAAACTGTAAAGAAGTGAGTTCGATAAAAATCATTTTCATCAAGATTTGAATCATTAAGTTCTCAAATTACGTTCATCTAACCAAGTAAAGAGTCTACAGGGTGGCTCGAAAAATGAGACATATCAAAGTTGTGTTTCTCTAAATCAAGCACCCTATATTTCATAACACTTCAGAATAGGTCAGGAAATAAATAATATGATTTCATATGAGATACTATATACCTAATTACAACCGTTTTTGGGTTGTTTTGTTTTTTTATGAAAATGCTAGTACAATTAGAAACCAAATAACATCAAATAGAACATCCTGTATTTTGTATTTTGTTGGTCTGAACAATATAAAATTATCTATCATTTAATTATAGGGTTACCTACACCGAACCTGAATATTTTCTCAGATATTGGCTTTTTCAAATAGTAGTTCTTAATTCAACGCGTTCTTTGAATCGAGATAGCTTTGAAACGACATTTATTTGATTTGCTAACAGAATTCTCATTGACAGTTCACTTCTTCGAAAATATTGACATTTACGTTCATATTCTGACAGTAATTCATTAAACAGACTACGCTTGAGAAAGCTTGAGAAAGCATATTGAAACAATATTTGAGTGTGCAGCTAGCCAAAACTATGTATTCTTATAACATAGCTTTCGATAATCTGGAATACTTTTTGTTATTGATGATACTTCAGTAAAAATTCATTCCCGAAATAATGGTATTGAAATGACTATGATGAAAATTACTTTCTCGTTTTCTTATATTGAGTAGAAACTTCTATATTTCGAAAATATTGCATTTCAGAGAATGATATTCAACTCATTTTCAACAAAATGGATGTTTTTCATTGCAATAATTAATATTTGAGTTCATATTCAAGCAACAACTGTTTCTGAACGGATTCGATGATATTTTTCTAGCATATTCAATAACTTTAAAAATATCATATACATGGGCGATTTCTTCATGTCACGTTTGTGTGAAAGAGTTATTTGATTCATCCAATTCATTTACTNCTAGTTGATTATTTTGCCGTTATTCTCAATATGCCACCCTCATTATTCAAAAAAGTTCAGAGAGATCATTTACTGAATAATTAAGAATGATTTTTCAAGCAACTCATATTCCATCCACCTATTCATCTTCTCAATTTGTTCATCTTTTGCTCTTTTCTTCGTTCTTTTTTTACTCTTCTATAGTGTTGACTCAAAACTCAATTCACTCATCGATATAACCTAGGTGTAAGAATTATAACAACACATCTATAGAGATTGATGTGTTGATAGGTCGAATGGAAAAAATTATATGAAGAAACTTTCTCGTCTTCAATTTGTATTAACTCCTAGGAATCAAAATGCAATCGACATAACTGTACTAATACAATCATTTCTCACCAACTGGTTAATGCATGAGTTCAAGGAGTTTCCAAAGCCTAGCTCAAATCACATAAGTAAATCTCCAGTCATTTCAGTCAAAAGTCGAAAATTGAACGAGCTGATGATTAACGAGGTCTTACATATTAACACCCATTCGGACTAGACTAATCATACTAACCCACGGGCCACCATCTGACAATTATAGCATTGCCATTAATATAACATATGATGATTGAACACAATTACTTGATAGAAATCATATCATTCCACCTTCAGGTATCAGAAAATGGCATTATGGTAGCCTACGAAAAAACTAACAAATATTGAAATTTGAATCAACGGACAGAATTTACGAGAAAAAAAAAACAAAGTATTACTATTTTTGACAAAAATTCAATAGCAGACGTAGCTGATACCAAGTGGAATACAGAAGTTTAGCCATCAGATTATTGCTCAATATATTGCAATTGACAGAATCCTTTTTCATGCAAATTTCTATAGATGGGCAGAAAGTATTAATCACATATAAAATATTTCAGGACTATTGGTTCCTCAGTACAGAAAAGGTCAAAACAAGTGATTCGGAAAGGTATTTGGAAATCATAATTCAACCAGAATAACTTAGGTCAAAAAAACAAACTGGAAAGATTTATATTCATCCGTTGTTTCATTTGTTTTCAATTTTTTTCACATAAAAAAATAGTTCCGATATATCTGAATATGTCTTCGACGACTTCGTTTCAGTTTTTCAACTTGGTGTTTTTTAATTTCACCAATAACTTAACCAACTAGCAACACCAGTTCAACTGATTGGAGAAGATTACGACTCATTGTGGTTGTATTTTACTCAATTGGTTTTGCGAGCCGTTTATATAGACATGTCTGTTGAGGAGTTCATGCCCTGTAAGTTTGTTTCAATTTTTCTCACATAAAAAAATAGTTCCGATATATCTGAATATGTCTTCGACGACTTCGTTTCAGTTTTTCAACTTGGTGTTTTTTAATTTCACCAATAACTTAACCAACTAGCAACACCAGTTCAACTGATTGGAGAAGATTACGACTCATTGTAGTGTATTTTACTCAATTTGTTTTGCGAACCGTTTATATAGACATGTCTGTTGAGGAGTTAATGCCCTGTAAGTTTGTTGGTAGTCGCTGCAATTAATTTATACTGGATGAGATATTTCACAAGTATCAAGCAGGTAACACTCCGCATTAGCCGAGTTCGTTATTAATATTCATCATTCTTCTACAAAATGGTATCTAACATCTTCAAAGTAACTTCCCAACTAATATGATTTCTACCTCATAATATAGGAGAATACCTATACCTACTTTTCCACGTCCAGAATCCCAATTCGCCCATCTGTGGTTCCAAAAAGAACAATTCTCAATTCATCATCTTCGTAAATATGCAGAATAGTAGGGGAGCTCTCTATCTCCATGCTCAAAGTAACTCGTGCATGTTCCAAAGCTCTGATCATTCGACCTTCACAAGCTATCAGAGAAATGAGTCGATTACTCTAAAAGATAATAGAAAAATTAGCAGGCCGGCATTAGATTAATATAACATGACCACATGTGATTAATGCCAACGCAAAAGAAGTACAAAACAATAGGTCAAATTAGAATAAAAAATATAATCGTTATTAGCAGCAATAAATAAGTAGAAATCCAAAAAGTTTCAAACCAATAAGTTTCAAACCTAAAACTAATCTTTCAAAAAAAATATACCACTTTCAAATTATAACCAAAGTAACATTTTCTGCAAATAACAAAACCAACGAGACAAAGTCGACCGTGAAAAAAAGAGAACTTACATTTTGACAGTAAAGAGCAATCACATCGACAATTTTATCTCCACACAAATAAGATCCATTATCCTTGAGATCTCTGTAATGTGTATATGTGTGCCTTCCACAAAGAAATAATTCGTTTTCGAGAACATACCTAAAATATATTAGTTGCAAAAGTCCTAAATAATTTCCGGTATGTATGTAAGTCACTGATTACGATTTATACAATAATTTACTGGTGACATCGAAATATATAAAAATAACTATGACTTCACATTGAATGCTACGTTTGCAAAATATTTTTGTTACCACTTGAATGTGAAATGAGCAACCAGAAAGTCCAAGGAAGTTATAGATTACCCTACTTGCTTCACAAAACTGAAATATAATCACCATTGGAATATTTTGAATCCGTTTTGAAAAGCTAATAGAGACAAACAATTTGTAAATTTAGCATTATCATTGAAGGATTGTCCTGACGAGAAGGTAGATATGTTGACATGAAATACCTTTATTTGATGAAAAATAATACCACTGATTATGAAACAACGATAACATTACTGATCAGTTTTAAATCTGTTTTACCGTTAACCAGCTGTCGCACGCCTACGAACGACAATCCTCAGAAGTCGAAACTTGTGCGAGCTAAGGATTAAGGATGTCTTACCTTTTAACGTGTGATTCCTAACACAAGTTGGACGATAGCAAGTGAAAATCAATTGTTCAGACTAGGGCTTGAACCACCGAACACACGGCAGTCAATTCAAATGAATGAACAAAGGACCCACGTCGAACCGCCTGACAGGACGTAATATGGAAAACGTTAATGAATTGAGAAACCCGATGAGAAACACATTTTTTGGAACTTTGTGAAGACATTGATGAAATTACGTGAGAGAAATATGTTCATTCTTCCATTAACGACTTGTTGGAAGAACTGAAAGATGTGAGTTCAAGATTATTTGCTCTTACGAAAATACTAGCGTAAATAGCGAGAAGACGAAGAGAAAATTTAAACTTCTCAAATTAGAACAAAAAAAAATCACCGGGTATGTTGTAAACTGGCATTTCACGAAGATAATTATGTTACTAGTGTGGAAAAGTGGGGTTACGCACAAGGATATACCATTTTGTTAGTTTCCTGTTATATTTATCATAAAGTTATTCATTCATTTATTGTATCACAAAATAATTTTTATTGATTATGGAAATATATATTAATATTGTTACACTGAATTGTGCTAGTCGGGCCCCGATACAATCGGAAGAGCGTGCCAGCATTATCAACCAATGACCACTCCCCACACCGTGGAAAGTAGTCATTAGGTTCGAGAATCAAGTGATCTAAACAAGCGCAGTAAGCCAAGAATGACAACCTTCTGCATTTATCCGGCTGGGATTCCTGTCTCAGTGCGGCAAGCCGGCATGGTCTTGAGATTCGACAGAAGAAAGGGCATCATTACACCAAGGATTACAGTAAACAAAACAACCATTTCGACAAAGTGGTCTGAATAGAGTGAGTATGTAAAAGTTTCCCTCCTCGTTTCGAATAATATTTGTGTCGCCAGCTGCTGAAAACTCCACGACAAATATTGTCTTGCTCTGTAAGTAGAAAAAAATTCCATCATGTGCATTAGCTTCTATAAACCTGAGGATTGGAAACGAGTAGTTACAATGAATTTGGCACTTCTCGTTCCCAACAGTGGATTCAATATTTTCCGGAGCGTAGAAGAACACCAGTGTTTCGTCAATACCTCAAAAGTGCCGTAGGGTTATGCTGACAGCACATGCATTAGGGTATCATGAGCCCCACGACAGGCTCTGCATCTTGTGTCAGGAATCTCTACACCCATCACGCGATTACGGTAAAGTAGCAACACCACCCTGGCAGACCATGATGAACCCCTTAGTTTCAACTTCAGCTCACTGTACCTGAGGAAAGCGAAAATAAGGCACTTTAATTAGCCGAAATCTCCAATGTTGTTGCATGGGCTGATCCATGTGTTGCTTCAGAAGAGAAGTGATTTCCGCGGCTTTTGAATGGATTTTTTGCTGGATGTTGCACCCTGTTGTGTCAACAATTTTTCATGATCGTAGACCATGCATAGAAGGGGATCTGACCACCTGATGACTTTATAAGCTCCATTATGTCATGTAGACACTGCAACTTCAGAAGTCTACTGCCTTCCTGTTGTTGGGGAAAGTACAACCGTGGGACGGATGATTTGATGCATCAATTTTCGAGTCTTAACGTCAAGTTCGAACAGCTCCTCTCGGGTACATTCCACTACTCGAAACGAGTAAAGTAAGATGTGAACGGCAAGCATGTTCGTAGCAGAAACTTTGTTCTTTCCCGGCAGTTTCGTTGACCAGACCTGTTGGACTTTGTGCTGATATTCACCGCTGAAAGAATTATCCACTGTTGTTACCTCTTGTTATCTATTATTATTATTTTTCACCTCAGGTTGCGCTACCCGAAGCCCTGATACATTCACGGGGGCTCGCCAGCATAATCAACCATCGACCACTCCTCACACCGTGGGCTAAATAATCGTTGAGTCGCTTGCTCGTGCGTCCATTCAAAGCGCCCGTTATCGTTGCCAGGGTTGTCATCAGTAAGCAAATAATCATTATAGGCCCCACCACATTGCATTTGACACCTCCGAGCGGGTGGATTGCAGGGGTTCCTTTCTCATCTACTAGGAGCCGATTATTGGGTCTACCGGGTGATTAACCCTGATTCCTTTCGACTCAGTCAATCTCTTGGAATAAATGTATCAATTTCGTGAATTGATGATGGTGAAAGGGAAGTCATGAAAATCAAATACATCTTATTTTCTACTGAAGATGCTGATGAGTTTTATAGAAGACTAATGTAGAAGAATAAATAAAGGAATGTGGCTAGTTACAAAAGCTGAAGGCAGGTGTTTCAGTAAAACAGCGTTAATAAAACATCCTAAGTCTTGTGATTTTGTCTGTAAAGTCCAGTCAATGTATAAAAAAATGTTGCCTGATAATAAAAAAGTATATAAAAACTCTTTTCTCTAATGATTATTATCCGAAATTTTGTCTTGATACGTCATGTCAAGTGTATGTCAGTCTTTCATTATGGTTTCTATTGTTCTTCAGCTGTCTTAACTAATATCAAATTAATGTTTTTTTCACATCCTTTGTAGTTTACAAAATTGAGTTTTCATGATGTCATTTCCATTTCATTTCATATTCGATATTATTGTTATCGTTTTTTTTTTAATTAACCATACCTATTCATGATAATGAGTGAACAATTTCCACAAATATTTTCATTTCTAGACGCGTAGCTTCTTATATACAACAGTACCTAACTCAATTTGTTGATAGAGAAAGCGATAGGTAAAATTCGTAAACCAATTACACTCAAAGTGCTTGGACAGCAGGTTAATTGAATATAAATAAACTTATTGGTATCAAGAAAGACGGTTCAGCAATGGTGAGTGGTTAACGTCCAGTTAGTTGGTCGCTCAGCAGAGAATTCGAATGTTTACCCTTATTTATTTCCAGAGACTCTAGTAGGTTCAACTTTTGTCTTTTAGCTTCCACATAGAGTATGTCGTACATAATGTTAAAATCGTGATCGTTCTCCAAAAGGTGGCACGCACTACGTAGGACATACTCCATGTAGAAGCTAAGGGAAAGAAGTTGAACCTGCTAGAGTCTACGGAAATAAACAAGGGTAAACGTATGGGATACCTGCTGAACGACCATTGTTAAACCTTTTTTCACAACACCAATGGGTTTAATCATTGGTGTTATGTACCTGCTATTCAAGAACTGTGAGTGTAATTGATTCACCAATTCTATCTGGTATCGCTTTCACTATTAATCAACTAAATCAAGTATCTACTATTGTTGGATATGAGAATTGTAGTCCAGTGTGTAATATTCATTTCTATTGATGGAGCTACGGTGTTAGCGAAACGCGTCTACAAATGGAAATGTTTCCGAAAATGGTTTCATTATTATCATGGATAGTGTTATTAATTTCATCAAATAACAAGTCAGTCCATTCATAATAATCACACCTATTTACTTTGAATCTTTCATCAGTTATTTAACTTCTCAGAATTATCAATTCCATCTTTTCGTCAATAATTATTTCTTGTATATTTTCGATGTTTATGAATTCCATTTTCTGCGAAGAGTCACATTCAGAGGTGTCAATGTCAAGTAGATATGCTTTTTTGAGTTTTAAAAAGGTGAACTTGCAAAAATGATTAAAGGATTAGTGATAACACGATCAGAATTAAAGCAATACATACTGTCTATAGTTTTTCGGTGAAACCAGAAAATACAAATTAATAATTTGGCTCCTGCCATACATTCGTAGCTTCGGTTAGAAAACCTCGTGTTTGTGAAACAACCAGTAACGTCACTCTCGAAGCCAGTACTGCTATTTGCGTAACAAGTGGAAAGTATTCCATGATTTTTAAATTTTGGAACTTACATTGATTTTATTTCTTCAGTCATTCCAGAATCAAATGTGAGAAACAATTTTCCTTTTTTCGTGTAACCTCGTACTTGATTTCCAGATGCAATGAATATTTTGTCGACAACAGCACCTGTAATGATGAAAAAAATGTATCGCATGTTCGTTATGACTCAAGATGACAAATTTAGTGAAAAATCATATTAAGAGAAGTCATGGATGGATTTTTTCAAGAGTTCCACACGATGTTGCTATGTTCTGTTTTGTTTGAGGCTCACCTGTATTTATCATAAAGTAATAAAACTTATTTGTTAGGTTCGAAATAATGATAATCAGAAACACTTCTCATCCAGTCCTTCACCTAGCTTTGCTTCGTGAGATGATAGTACCACTGAAGACCGAATTGATTGATAGGACGTAACAAAAATTTCTGGGTACAAAATTTTTAGAATAATAGTTCATAGTTACACTTGCGAAAGTATTTCCAGTTTGTTTCATTAATTTAGCTTTGCAAACCAGACAATTAAGTCTTCGTTTGTTTCTCATATCCTAACATATTCCACTTTTATAGTAACTCAAGCCCCAGGCTGGGGCACTTACTATCGTACAACCGTGTTAGGAATCACACGTTAAAAGGTAAGACCTCTTTAGTCTCTAGCTCGCACAAGTTTCGACTTCTGAGGGTTGTGGTTCGTAGGGGTGCGACAGCTGGTTAACGGAAAAACAGATTTTAAACACACCGACTTTTTAAACAGATAATATTAAAATTTTGTTATTTACTACCCTGTTTCTTGATATTAATATTTTAAGATTCATTTTTCACTTCATTTCAACTGGTCTACAGAGCACATTCACATAAAGTTACCTCAATAAACCAATTAGGTAATCTTCCAGTCAGAATTTGTGGTTCACTGAATATTTTTATCTTCTGTAATTAACATAAATATACTCGAGTACTGGAATATTCGATACGTGAATATACTAAATAGATTTATTCATTTCTTTATCCGGCACAAAACTTCCACACAAGATTATGCGGTATAAGGACGTTAACAAAAATTAATAACGATTGAGAATGAGAAAATATGAACATTCAAATAATTTAAATTTGATGATTATCATCGAGCTAACTTTTTTTTCAGTTTTACAAAATATATGAACTGCTTTAATTTTTTAATTTTTCAGGCAATTTATTGAGAAATTTGAAATCGGATTATTCTTTCATCTGGTAGTAGGTATGTATCACATCAACATGAAAATTATTGGAACTTTTCATATTATGATCATGCAATTTGGAATTTTTCAATAATCGAATATCAAGGAGAATATTTTTCAAAATAAAGTCTCCCAACCATCTAAACCGCAGGTTCTGGACAGTGCTGTTTTGACCAGCCATAAGTCTATCAGTGATGTAGTGCTTGAACACAAGCACTACAGAAGAATCCATGAGGCGCTCTAAGGGCGGTGACTGTGACGTTTGAGGAATACTGAGTTGAACCGCGTATTTCTGATATGTACCGCTCTTGGTGGAATCAACACCTCCCGTGAAAGTATCTATGAAAGAGTGACAAATTTCCAATCTTTCTTCGATGTTCCAGACTATGAAGGTTGTAGCTTCAGGGTATGTTTAGGGGCAGAGCTCCATACATGAGAACAATACTCCAAAGAAGGTCTGATCTGAGCTTTATAAAGCATCAAAAGTTGATGAGGTGTGTACAGTTATCTGGTTTGGAACAGTTCTCCACGCTTTTGAAAAGCAGCCTTTGCAATTCCAGCGACATGAATGTGTCAAGTCATATTGGTGTCCATTTTAACCCCCAAAAACTTATCGAAGCAGAAAGCGGAATTGTCTGTCCTGACATTATTATATCCGCTTCGGAGTCATTTATCTTTTGGGTGAAAACCTTGTTTTGAAAATTCTCTGAAATAGTTGGTACCATTTTTCATTTTTATCAGTGAAAACTTTTTTGCGACCAGCTATGGGTATTGATTGGTACCCCAAATTTTTCAGAGTTTCAACTTGGAATGGTCAAGCTACAATTGTCTTTTTTTAAATCGACGTATTCTGAGAGAGAACTGGTGATTGGTCATGTAGATATACCCGAGTAGATTTTTCAGTTTGTTAATCCTCTTGTTGATGTTTTATCGATTTTTTCTTTCGTTGATTTCACACAACTTGTTATCAAATTATCTCACTCTGTCACTGAGTATATGTATTGCATTCGACACCATCTTGTAACTTTCGTATTTCAACTTCTAATTATTGTTTTATTTTTTCACCAATATCATTTGTTTTCAGGTTAGCTATATTTCTTGTTATGCTTTTTCTCTGTTCTTGTTTTCAGTTTTATTTTAAATAGAACTCCTACCAATTGATTATTTATACTTCAGAGTCACATTTTCTGTATGTCGATACTCTATGAAAATCCATGATAACGTATTCAATTATTGAATACGTTTATTGAACATGCCTGAAGAAGCTATTATACAGTGAAATATGTGTTACGGTTTTGTGAACTGTTTAGTGAAAATCTTACGATGAAATATCGTATATCCTTCAAACTCATTTCGAATTCTGAGTTGGTTAGTCATTTATATGTGCTAATCAATTCACAAGAGTTTTTGTTTACGCGCAAATTTTTTCCCAGAATGACTTACTTTAGAATTGAGCTGTTAACAATGTTACTGAAAATAACGTTCATTCCATCATCATGACTGGGTTTAAATTTACTTATCTAAATGAAACTTATCAATATATCTAATGATGATTCTTATTTGCTTGAAAACTGCACCAATAAACATACAAACCTGTAGCTCCAGCTGTTTTCACTGAACATATTGGTGAGCCAGGTAGGGTTTTAAAGTGCAATTGTATTTGTTCTTTCTTTATCGAAAAAACTTGAAGAATACCATCAACGTCAGCTATTGCTACCTGGGAAAAAGTTGTATTAAAGTCTTGTATGATGAAAAGTGAAATATATGTAATATAATCATAATAAAATTACCATTTAAAAGCATTACACATACCTATACCTGTTTCTAAAATGAGAAAGACCAGCAGGGGAAAATCGGAGACTGTGAAAGATATAAAGACAGTTATGTAAGAAAAACGTTGTTCATTTCAGAGCTTATTCAAATGACGTTTCGAAATTTTCAATTGAAAAAAGAAAACACCTCATCATTGCAATTGATGAATTTTTACATTTATTCAAAATGTAGATTTGTGTATGAATATATGTATATACATATGTGTAAAAATGTATATAGTGTGTATATTGTGATTTTCTTTTATTAGTATTGTCTTCATTGCACATTTTGTATGGATGAACTATTTTATCTATTTGTGTATTGACGAACCTGACATATTTTTTATGGCAAAAAAGTAATACATGAATTGATATGAATTGCTACTATCCAAACTACAAAAGATGGCGGTTACATCGCAAATTTTGCTTTTTTCATAAGTCAGCCTTTGTTGGTGTCAACTTCGCCGATGTTTCACCATAATCTTTAGTGAATTCAAAATCAACGTCTGAACTTTTTCCTAATTTAACTGAGTTTGTATCGAGAACGTTTTCCGATTTTTCCATGTTGACTCCTCTCCTATCTAGGGCATATTGTGTATGTATGTTCCATACACCGCGAGCATTTTGTTCTTTTTGAAAATGTCTCGATATGTGTCCACATATCGTATTTGAAACATGGCTTCTAGAAAGCATTTTCGCTTACTAACAATGCGATTCGAATGTGTAGGTACTTCACGTATCTAATATATAAAAATATGTTTATTGGTTGGTTGGTTGGTAAGTGATAAACTTCTACATCGCTCAACCGATCGATATGAAACTTGACATGCATAAGTAATTTTTCATAGAGAAGGTTTTTAGGCTATCAATTTTTTCTGTAACTCGCCACTAGATGGCGCTGTAGAACAATTTTTTGAAAGCACTGTTCTATAACGCTGCGCACGTTGATTCTGATTCTGTCAAAACATTGGAACAGCAGCGATACAGCAACATAGTCATTTATAAAGTGGAATGGGTTTTACTAGTATCATATATTTGAAACAGATGAGTAGTTCCATAGTATGCACCTTCAATTACTTTTTTAATAGTTCTCCCATGCATTTACTTTTCCACTTTTTCAGCCAACGGTATACATTGAAAATTGAACAATACCTATCACTAATGAGAGAATAAAATAATTCATTAAAACCAAAAAAAATATCGAATTTAATAAAAACTAAAATGAGAAATTCCCTAAGATTCCAGACGCTGAACTCTACGTAAAAGTAGCAACCTTATTTAAATAGGATCATATCGCTTTTCCTGTAGAACGGCAAATAAGGATCTCGCGTTTCCTGGGGTTTCAATACGTCTTCATTTTGCACGGTCTTGACCGAAGAATCGTCGTACCTAATCCAGCAATTGTAGCCGACAAGGCATCGGTCACGTAGTGTCCAATGTTGGCATTTTTGCCTTCGTGGTAAACGACGGCGAATAGCTTGTATTGTCTCTCTGTTGGAGACTGTGTTTCCGACGATATCAAAGTCGAATCAAACTTCAAGTCGAATTCAAAATCAAAAGCCTTGATAATCTTCATGCAACGGAAGTTGCTGTATTTGAAAAACTTCAGATGCAAAATAAGGATAACGGGAAGTTTGCAGAGCGTAATTTGCTTCCAAGCTTCGACCTTCTCGTTTGTTTTCGACGAAGTTACTCCCTCTAAAATATTCTTGGAGACAAGTACCTTGCGCTTCTCTGACGGTCTTCACTTTCTCAATGTTGAGTAGCAGGGTGAGGAAAGGCTGAGTATTCTCAGTAATGTGGACCACGTTGCGATGAATGCTCGACTTTAGTTGCCCCCCGAAGATGTCACTTATCGGTGTATTGGTGAAGTCGATCTTTCTGGTTGAATGTCCTTTATTTTTCAATTCTATTATGTTCCATAAATTATTTGAATCATTGCAGAGTCAACGAGAGGTTTGTCAAAATTCTTGACGGGTTCAGACATAGGCGAATGATGGTGGTTCATCGTCGAGAAGATCATAGTATGCGGGTAGTTGGCAAAAGGTGTAGATTCGGCTGTTTGTTGAATCACTGCAAAATTTTCCTGGATTTGAACATTTTTTCTCTTCTGCATTTGTCCTTTTATGATGTTGAAACTGCTAGTATTGAGTTTGCCTGTTAAGTCTTCTTCTACAATTTTTTTAGAACTGAAGTCTGATTTACTCTCATTAACATTTGGATAATTTTTAACAGAATGCTGAAAACTATATCCGGGTGACCACCTATAGACCCATCATCCAAGTACCAACAGTTAGAATTGATTTCGTCAGACGATCGATGGATAAGCAGAAAAGTGCGGGACCCAGGGGATCTCCTTGTTGAACTCCTCTTTTCGACATGATGACATTATCTCCAAAATTCAAAAAAGTTGGCTTTTGATAACGCTGACTGCTGAAGTGGAAAAGATGAGGTGTCAGATCCATGATTCTTTCTAAAAATACTCGTCTGTGAATCATATTGAATGCGTTTTGTAATTCTAGTTTTAAAAAAATGGTTGAAGATGAGTTCGGATGCTGATTTATGAAACGGCGTGCTGCGTGAGCGACTACTTCACATCCTCCGGAAGTTCCAAATTCAATTACTTGATTTGTAATTTTGAGAAAAGCTTCAATTATTCTCTACCGGATTAATCAGTTTCATTTTTGTCAAGCAAGTTATGGAGATTGTTGATTAATTTACAGGTATTTTTGGCTTGTTATCACTTTTTGGTATGAGATTATTGAAGTGATTGCTCTCTACTTTTTCCAGGCATAATTTATAAGGATCTTTAGATTCAATGTAAGCAGTTTTCAAAATTGCATTACCAAGGATAATGTAATAAACTTAATTTGTTCATTGCTCATTACTTATTTTTTCATACAATTTTCTTTGCCTTTCAATCCCTTCATTTATTTATGTTTTTCGTAGGGAAAGAAGAACCAAAAACTGTAAAAAATTCGCTCAAAACCATATTCTACTTCAAATTTGAATTGTTTTTTCCAGAGACTTCCTACCAGACATATTATCCAACTTTGATTATGAAATGTTTCACATCACCTTCTTGAAGAATTATTGTACGAATGAAATTATACTCGCTAGTAGATACAGAAAATTCAGTAGTTATTAATTGTGCCTGATGGTGACATCTAAGATGAAATCCATACCATTTTTAATTATAATGTAATCTGTGAATTGATCAGTCATCAAGGCAGGTTCAATGAAAAATAGCATGTTCAAAATTTCAGTTTTCTTTTTCGAACTCAATTCAAAATTCACGTTGAAAATATGAACAGTGGCCGATCATTGAATACACATTGCTCTCAAGACAAAATTCAGCAACTGTACTCCCGAAGTCATTAAGTGTCTACACATAAGTCACAAACATCCACCATAATCATTCTGAATGATCTTGAGTTTCGTGTATGAAAAAGGCAATTTTTTTTAAAGACTTGTATAGGTCTGGAAAATGTTAAGTTCCAATTCAAATTTGTTGTGGAATTGGCCGCGGTGGTAGTGCGTCCGACTCACGATCGGAAGACCGTGGGTTCGATTCCTGGCTCGACCAGATATTTTTCTCGAGAAGCTGGGATGGTTCTGCAACCGTGTTAGGAATCACACGTTAAAAGGTAAGACCTCGTTAGTCCTAAGCTCGCACAAGTTTATCAACTTCTGAGAGTTGTCGTTCGTATGGGGGCGACAGCTGATTAACGGAAAAACAGATTTTAAGCAAGATCTCTCATTCAATAATCTGNCAAAGAGGTATCCCATGAATCAATTTATATTTCAAAAATCTATAACTAAATCACCACATGACACCAATGACTTCATAGTTTACATAGTTTAAAAAAAATGAATTATGCTACGAGTCAATCAATAATCATATTTGAATTTTTCCGTTCAGCAGTGGAACAAGGCTCTTTAGCTCAAGATATTTCAATAATTTTCCAAATGTATTCATCTGTATAAAGTAATTGAAGAATAGCCACCAACGTTATGAAAATAGTTCTTTGATAATGTGATACCGTGAAACGAGAACTGTGGATAACTTATAAGGCAATATTCATCACCAATAAAATAATGCACTACCAACCTTCTGCTGGTCTTTGGGAAGATTAGCCGGTATCAACTGTAAACAATGATGATTTGTTACACCCACTATGGTATAATCCATCCTTCTCAATTCTAAAGAACACATCATTCACAATTTCACGAATATAAATGTAGATTGTCATGACATCCGAGAAATAGAGAAGAAAAATCGATTTAGCCTTGACAACTGAAAATAATCATAGAAACGGGGAGGTATGAATAAGAGGTTTCAGGTTTTTGAAATCAGTAATTCATTGGTCGTAAAAGTTGGTGAATATGTTATATACGGTGTACAAAAATAGTAGTTTTTATTCGTTGAAGAATCAGAATTTGAATGACATATTAAATGCAATTAGGATGGTTTCAAGTCAAAGAGCGAGCAGGGCAGGTCAAAAAGTAATAAATTATTACAAGATTGAAGTAACTCTGTTTCAAAAATTAAAATTAAATATTTAGAAAAGTTCTGTGGAAGTGAAAATTATACTCAAGAAAGACAAGGTATCCTTAAAGATTCCAGACGATACTAAAAACTAGGCATGAAAGTGAAAAATATTACTTTGAATAATAAATAATACTTTTTTCACTACTTACAATAGTCTGACTTCATTTCTGTCCAGTGTGGAGAACATTGCATTATCATCATATAACTTCGAGCAGATAATTCAAAATAATTAGAAAAGCTTTGGATATAATGAAGAAGGATATAAGGATAAGGACATTCAAATCAATGGGACAACCCAGACTCTCGGTATGCTTTAATAACTTTCACTTTAGAAAAAAAGTGGTACTCGGTTACGAAAAAAAAATGGCAAAAAAATAGAAGGAAAATGTCAGTCAAAAAAACATAAAAGTTTGAATGGAAACTACGTTTAATATATAAGGTGCATCTAACACATGATATCAAACAGTTGTTGGACTACAGTAGGGATGAACAACGAAGTCTAACAGGCCTTCTTACAGTTCACTGTAAATCAGTTCACATTTAAATCATCATATGCAGAGACTCGGACTTTCGGAAGACAGTGTGTGTACTTTTGTTTGGAAAATGAAGAAACAGCAGATTACATACTTTATGCCTGCCCCGCTGGGGAACGAATCAGGTTTTAAGAGTTCGACAGAGTCGTACTCTCACTATCTGACCTGAAGGACCACTCACCATACAAACTAATCGGCTTCGTTAAGGAGCTGAGTTTATTTGGTCGAGTGTGAATAGATGTGAGCCACAATAAACCCTTGAGGGTTGCGGTGGAGGTTCGAATAGACCCACTAACTTTGGACCTAACCTAACCTTACCTAACCTAACACATATGACGCATTCAGCAGTTAGAGCCCATCTAACATACAGGACGCATCTAACATACAGGGCGCATCTAACATACAGGACGCATCTAACATACAGGGCGCATCTAACCAACGGAGTGCATCTAACATACATGGTACCTAATTCGCCACACGATCAATTACAAATCATAGGAAAAATCAAATAATGAGCTATACTTTGAGTAATGATTCGATAGGTTTATTGGCATAGCCACTAGTTCAATTTGAATCAATTATAGAAATTTATTTGAAGCTCGAATACTCTTTGATTCGTGACACCAAAGTGATTTCAGTGGTAGTGAATTCAGTAGATAGAAAATTACAAAAGGTGGCGTAGTGGACATCCCAATGAATCAACTGCAGAAAGAGTTCATGACTAGCTGGAATTATATTTATTTGTACGGTTAACACCGTACCTACACAAGTCGTTGGTCTACATGAGAGGCAAGGGGTAAGGTGTTGTCCTCTGAAAGCAGACAAAGGAAAAAAGGATGTGATATTGGACAAATCAGATTACTATGAGAGAATTGATAATTAAATTGAAAACGTTTATTCCCAATTCCCAAAGAACCAATTGATTAATATGGTTCCAGAAGTGTCAAAATTTGATCGCACAATTCCTAAAATATGCAAAATTCCACAAACCTGAGAAGTCTGTGCCCACTTGTCTCCGCCATAGTTTCCCCTACTTGAAAAAATGCAAAATGGCTAACCAAACAGTTTGAAACTCAATCTCACAACTGAGTTTGGCTGTCGTTGATTCACATGAAGTCATAGATAAAATTAGGGATGAAAAGTTGCCAGATGGAGAAACTATTTAATAAGTATTCGAAGGACCTTCTGAAGTTCAATGGTGTCAGTGGAAAAGTAATCGAAGATTACATACAACTAACATAATTCTGCAAGGAACAGAATTGCTTCCATTTCAACAACTGTTCATACAGGCAGCACGAAGACGCGGCAATGGAAAACCCACTATCCCTCTTTCTAGCTAATTTGTTAATGAACATATTTGAAAGTGAAAGAGGAGTGGGATTACTTTCCACTGACTTAAATCAGATATGCAAAAAATATATTTGCGATTTTTGACAAAAAGAAATCTTGAGGTAGAGGACTCTGTTTCAACTTTCAAAAACAGATCCCTGAATATTGAGTGAGGTTTTGAAATTGAAAACAACGAGTATGTCTCAGCGATTAGAAGTAATCAGAGTCTAGAATTTGATGTCTATAGGGAGAATACGAGTACTTTTAGGTATTTTATGTAGGTATATCTTCATAAATCTACGACTTTTCAAAAGACAAGTGCAAAGTTCGTTATCCTTTCGTATGATCCAAGACATACCGATTAGATCGAATTTTAAAAAGTTGAACGTAAAAGTAGCCTTCAAAATTTCTTGCTCACTCCAACAAATATTAGGTAACCATGAAGACCAAATCTTGGAAAACGAAAAGTCGAGGATATATGAAATAAGCTATGAGGTCTGTGATTAAAAATACATCAGTCAGCCTAAGCGAGCTATTGGAACTCGCTGAACACTCCGATTTCGGAAATCAAAAAATCTAGTGTCGCTCAAAACGTCCATGGAAAATGGCCATAGAATGAATTAAAAATGTACTTGTAACTGGTATATAACACTATATTTCTCAATGCTTTCGAAAGCAAATGATGCAACAATTCGCTAACTCGCAATCAACAGTGAATGCTTTGAAGAAATAACGATTAAATAAAAGATTCATAAAAGCTTTTGAAAACCCCTAATCATTAAACATGAACATAATTGATAATGGTATACTTTTAGGAGAAATTAGTATCTGGAAAGGAATGTTGTAACTTTCTACTTTTCCATCTTCATAAAAACAAATCATTCGTTGTGAAATTGAATCAGATATTATATATACAGTTGCTGGCTTAAGAGAAAAGGAAGTTGACAGTACTCGTGCAAGTCCTTGCATAGACAACCCTTCAAGGTGAAGTGGATTGAATGACTTTAAAAAATCCGGGACGAGCATTTTCTAATTTCACTGTTCATGATCTAGTACAGTTACGGGCCAACAAAATATTTTTTTCCAAAAGGGTTTTTTCCCTCTTGAAGTGATGAAACATGAGAATACGTTCCTTCCCTTTTGAAGAGGGAAGGAACGTATTCTCATGATTCGTCAGGGTAGGCTAGCATATCCTTGTCGCTTATTTGAACTAATCTATATCATGAAATAATCAGCCTTCGCAACTAGACTTCATAAACCCCAATCTTGGAAACCAATGGCGCAATAATGTACTATCTTGTGGACTAAATGATTCAAATGCATTCAAAAGAAAATCAGTATTTCGCACATCTTTTCAGAAGCTTTTATTCAACAAATATAGAGCACAAGCAACTTCTGTTGTTTCATTCTAGGAATCTTTTTCATTATCAATGCTTTCGATAGCTTCACAACATTTTTTGTGAAATAAAAGAAGTAGGTAGAATGTTTAGAATTTTGTTACACATTTAGTACATAAAATCACATGAAGTTGTGGTTTTGTCCAACTTTATTTCCATTTGAAACCACTCCTATTTGAAGATGAAATTTCTGAATTATCAACCATATTTATCAAATCTTCATCGATTAGAAGTTCAAAGTCTCCATGGGTCTGCGATGAAGTAATTTTATTCCATCTGACGCTAAAAATAAAAAAAAAGGAATTATACTGAAATAACAATAATAATTAACGATATTTATTTTCACTGATTGGACAAAATAATGAAAATAAAAGCAAGCAATAATACTCAAATAATTTCAATCATTAAAGATGATAGTGTTCCTTATGAGTGAAATTTACTATCAATACTCTGTCATACTGATGTGGAAAATAAATATCGGAACATAAGAATTGCAATACATTCTGGACGGGATCTGCGATAACAATGGACCAATTTGAATCAAGAAATTAGTTCGCGACGAAATATCAACTATTTGATTGAACCACTATTCCTCGGCATGCACTATTTAACTCGAGCAACTGATACGTTAGGTCTGCCAGTCCATTTCGATTCAAAATAAAATGCTGTCTTGAATGTTTACGTTCACAAAAGAAGAAAAAATTACGAATCTTGAAATAGTATTTTGGTGATAACTCAATTCGAAATACAATAAATTTATTTATTGCAACATTTAAAAATAGGCCAATTCCGTCACAGATCAACATTTGTCAAATTATTAAAAAGTCCGAGAATGTGGATATGTTCAGAATTGCCGGAAGTGTCAAAATTTCGATGAACTACATGTGAAGCCGTCAAAATAGGGAAATCACAGTATGGCAGATCAAATTAGTTCGAGTGACGGAACTGTTCGGAATATTTTGAGAAGGAATTATTACCATTCTTATAGAGTACAGATTTTTATCTTCGACCACATCAGACGAATGGAATTTTGTGAAATCATGATGCAAAAATAAAATAAAAAATTTGTTTTTGAAAAACCTATTATTTACAGATGTTTGGACAGAAGTGTCAGGAGATATTTGGTTTCAACAGTATGGTTGTTAAAGTCAAAATGCTCAACCACTGACAATGTCTCCTGGTCTATTGATGTCTACACGTGCAATGATTGAATGACCTTCCAAATCATCAGAGTCATCTCCGAGTGATTTCTTTCTTTGGAGGTATCTGGAAGAATGTGCCTATCGGCATGAATCCAATTCAAATATTCGTTTTTTCATGTACCTACAATTGTGTAAGACGAATGTCTTCTTTTAGTGCGGAGCTGAACCTGCAAGTTTCATCAACTGTTTCTCAACAGGGTTTCTCATTTTCTTTGCCAGCCTCATACACCTTCAATGATAAAACCCTGAGATTTTCACTTTGGGCTCAATTTTGTATTGATTTTCTATGGATGGTATCTGAGTTTATCATGAAATAAAAGGGTCTAAAGTTCTCGTATATCTTGATGATGCGATCATATGTTCCGAAACGTTTGGAGAGCATCTGATAACTTTGAAAAGGTGTTCTAGATGCTACGAGCAGCTGTTGCAATTTCGAAAACAATTAGTATACTTTGCATCAGAAGAAGTCAATATTTCAGGACATATCGTGTCTACCTAGAATTTGAATATGAAGTCATCTCAAACAGTGAAGCCAACTATAACTAGAGACTGAATTCCAAAAAAATATGTTTAAGCACCGAAAGGTTTGAGAATGAGAACTCATTTGATTTCAATACATTTTTATTGGAGGATGAAGATTTGGTACAGGAGCAAAGAAAAAATGAAAGCGATTGAAAACCTTATAGTTTAAGAAGTGTCAGTAAGTCTGGAATTTGGAACGGAATTTGGAAAGGAAATGAAATATCTTGGCATTATTCTCGATAAAAAAAACTCACCTGGAATGCTCACTTAAGTGTTCGAAACAATATTTCAATGTTAACAGTGTCCGATTTTATAGCATAAAGTCGGCGGGTGCAGTAGATAGTGATATTATATACTCACTCAGGGATACCTGAAGGTGGAACGATGATATTGAGAATATTATCAAGCAACTTATGTTTCAATATTCTATCATTTGCTGTAGTTGATGTCAATGATGGCGATGCGTTAACCTAGAACAATTTTTTAAGGACAAAACACAAGCACTACATAAAAAATCGTTAAAGCGCTCTTAGAGCGTGCCTGTGCCAAAGTAGTGATCAAATTGGATTTGAATCGCTGAAGATTAAATCCATTTGGAAAAACTTTCTCGGGAAGTTTATTTCACGTGAACGCAGTTTTCCAAATGAAAGAGTTCTTAAACAGTGAAGTTCGAGGTGCACTGACTTTAACCTCAAAACGATGAGCAGTCACAGTCCATCGCGTATTTCTGATATGTATAGTTCTTGGTGGAATCAAAAGTACCAAGTCACTTAAACACTTCCCGTGAAAGTATATATAGAAGATAGACAAATCTCCAACCTTTTCGATGTTCCAGACTATCAAGGTTGCAAGTGATGTTCGCGTCTCCAATCAGGCGTATGGCTCTTTTCTGAATGGAACCCAGTAGCTTCAGGGTATGTTTGGTGGCGGAGCTCCATACATGAGAACAATACTCCAAAGAAGGTCTGATCTAAGCTTTATAAAAAATCTAAAGTTGCTGAGGTCTGTACAGTTTTCTGGTTCGAAACAGTATTTCAAGCTTTGGAGAGGTAGCCTTCACAATTCCAGCGACATGATTGTGCCAAAACATATTGGTGTCCATCATAGTCATCTTCATTTCATCAGGTTGGAAATTTTTTCCCTTACCCTTTCAACTGAGATTCGTCAGGACGACGAATGGTTCATAACGTAAGGTGTTTTGGTGGCGACATAAAGGTCAATGACCTCTATGCCGCTCTGGCCTTGTGTACCCCTTCCTGACTGGGGTATTTGATGAACAAACTGTTCATTTCAACAGACGTCGTGGGGCCTTCACTCAACCGAGCGACAGGGCCTTCTGAATCGAGTAGGGTCGTCTATAGTGTAATCTACAGCTTTCCTAACTAATGGGTTATCATAAGTTTCCGGTGACTCGAAAACTCTCTGATTCCTCGACTGAATGGACTGCCGTATAGTTAACAGCTTCAAATCTCTGCGGATGGCTTCATTCCGCACGAACCATGGAGCATTCACCAGCATCCTGATAAGTTTGTTTTGCAACCTTTCCAAAATAGAGAGGTTTGACGGGGCGGTTTGTCCCCAAGCCCCTGAAGCATACATGATGACAGGCTTGAACATCGTGTTGTATAGTAAAATCTTATTTTTAAGATTGAGTTTTGAATTTCTATTGACCAGAGGATAGAGTTTAGCTATCCTCATCTGCACTTTGCTCTTGATATAATAAATGTGATTTGCCCAGGTGAGTCGGCGGTCTACCCAAAGACCTAGGTACTTGACTCGCGTTTGCCATTCGATCTCCCTGCCTGAAATCGTGACCCTTGCGTCTGGAGAAACTTTACGTCTCCCCAAGTCTATCGCCTGAGTTTTTTCTAGATTCACTCGAATCTTCCAGTAAAGATACCAGCGTTCGAGGTCGTCCAATGCGCGTTGCATGTAGACGACGGCCAACGCCCGACCCATGGAAGAAGCGAGGAGAGCCGTATCATCGGCGTAAAGGGAAACCTTCACGTGATCGAACCTTGGAAAGTCGCTCACGTAAAGGCTATACAGTAGTGGAGACAGCACAGCTTCCTGAGGCACTCCAGCTTCGATTTCCCTGACGGGAGACAGGGTTCCTTCAACTCGGACCTGAAATGTTCTGCCTTTCAGAAAGGACCTAATCCACCAGACCAGACCCCGAGGCAGATCGAAATCGAGCATTTTGTGTAGCAGGCCTTCATGCCAGACTCGGTCGAAGGCTTTCGAAATATCCAGGAGGACGAGATGGACTGTCTTCCTATTGTTCAACTCTGAGATGGAATTTTAGACCAGTTTCAGGGCCTGTAGCTCGGTGGAGTGTGCCCTCCTGAAGCCGAATTGTTCGTCAGGCAGAACATTTCGGTCTTCAACTTCTTCTGTTAGCCTTTGCAGCACAACAAGTTCAGCCAACTTAGCCGTTGAGTAAAGCAGACTAATCGGACGACGATTCTGGGGAAACAGCGGGTTCTGGTCCTGTTTCGGAATCATGACAACTACGGCATGCTTCTATCTTCGAAGGAAGTATCTGAAAGTGATTGAGCTGTTGATAATGTCCAACGGGTATCTGATGAAGTTCTCCGGGAGCTGCTTCAACAACCTATTGTTGATTGAATCCATTCCCGGAGCTTTCTTGGGTTTGGAGGCCCTAATGTACCCCCTCAGTTCTTCCTCCGAAGCTGGACGGATCACGTCGTCATCATTTTCCCTAAGGAATCGCCTAACCCGGTGTTCCAGCCGGATATAACGGTCAATATCATCATCCGGATCTTCGTTAAGTTGAAACTGACTCTCCATTGTGCCTGCAAAGGCCAACGCCTTTTCGGCGGGGGAGTGGCAGATGCCACGGCAGATGCTGTCCGTGACGAGGTGAGGGAGCGGTTTTCCTCTTCTCGAGCCTGCGGATGACTCGCCAGAGCTCGTCATCCCCAGGTTCGAGCGATTCCAAACACCCGCTCCACCTCTCGTTTCTATAGTCAGTGATGTCCTGTTTAACCTGGTTGGCCATCCTGCTAGCCGCAGCCTTGTCTCCAGGATAGAAAGTCCGCTGATAAACTCGTCTGAGTCGATTTCTCTCCCGGGAGGAAACTCATTGTAGCTCCGCAAAGGACACTCTGTCTTGGTTGTGGCTGCGCGAAAAGCATTGTTCACAGACAATTCAAAATCTGCCACTGCTGCGTCGAAACCATTGCGAGTTTGAAGCGCATCACGGTCTGTACGTGTCTCCACTAGGTGAGCCTTGAAGGCTTCCCAATCCGTGGATGATCTCATTCGATAATCCTGGGGAGGGGGATCATCACCCAGCATCAGGATGACTGGATTATGATCTGAGTCAAGTTCCGACAAAGTGTACTACACTTCGCAGGACATGGAGACGTTCCTGAGCAATGCGATATCAAGCACATCAGGCCTTAAATCCCCACGGTAGAACATGGGCTCATCTGGACCCATCACTAGATACTCATGCCTGTCAGCATACGCATGGAGCGCTCGGCTGTTCGCATTGGTGAGTCTGCTCCACAGATTGTGCTTGGCGTTGAAGTCACCAGCAGCAATTGTGGGGGTATTTGTCGACATCAGCAGTTCATCCAGTGATTCTGGGAGTAGACGATTCCGCGGAGGGTTGTAACCTGAGATTAGTCTATGACGACCTCTTCTCAATTGGAGCTCAACGCCCACGGCTTTCGTGCCATGTAACTGATCCCAGTCAATGCCGAATTGTACGTGAGGAAGATTACGTTTGACAAAAATGCCAACTCCTCCTCCAGCACGTCCAACGTATTCTCTGTGGTAAAAACGGTAGTTTGGAATTATTGGTGTCCATTTCAACACCCAACAAACTTATCGAAGCAGAAAGCGGAATTGTCTGACTTGACATTATTATATTCAGCTCAGAGACATGTATCGTTTTGGAAAAAACTGATGTCTGGGTTTTTGTGGCATTGAATTGAACCTGGTTGGTTTCACCCTAATTCGAAATTATTTCTAGATCCTCATTAAGATATGCAACTTGCTGCTGCCGGTGAAGATGTGCATCCGTAGCTGATGTATTGGAATCCAAATGTAATGGCGAGACAAGTGTGCCGTCGTCAGCAAAGCAATATATTGGATTCTTTATTTTTTCCAATAAGTCGTTGATATACAATAAAAAGAGGGTTGAAGACAATATGGATCCCTGGGAAACACCAGCGTTGATGGTGAAAGTATACGAGAGATATCGATCGACGGCCACTGAAGCTGGAAGCTGAAGAGCCATACGCATATGTGATGCATATGGCATCACATTTGCATCAAAGCAGCAAACCCTCATGCCACACACGGTCAAAGGCCTCAGAAATATCAAGCGCAACAGCTCTTGACTTTCCATGTTTCTTGATTGCGTTATTCCAAATATGGGTGACATACGATAGAAGGTTGCCTGTTAATTTTTGTTTCCGAAAGCCATATTGATGATCGCTCAAGATGGCTTTTGGAAACAAAGATTAACAGGCGACCTTCTATTATGTGTCACCTGTAGATAGCGAACCATAAACATTTTTTTAATAATACCTAAACTCATCAAATATGTCGGAGAGGTGTGAATTCGAGTAATGGTATACACAGAAAGTAAAGTAATAGTTTCTTTTAAAGTTTTAGTCTCTCGACAGCATGAAGGACATGAACTTCTGATGAGGGGAAAATCGAAGTTCTAGAGACCGTTTATAATAATTTATTTCATGCTTTTCCTCTCCCAATAACATGTAGGTTATGGGCACTTGATGATATAAAACAAGAACGAGACTGACGTGGTAGAGACCACTGCACTTCTGTGTCATATATTTACGCGTCCCATACACGAACAATATTATTGCACAATATTGGAAATTGTGCAATAACAGTGAACGTATGTTTCTGGTATTGGAAGAATGTGCAATGGATTGCATAAAACCAAATCGTTTTGGAATATAAAGCGCAACTTGAAAAATAGTGCGTTGTACGAGAGCAATATTGCGTATTATCTCGTAAGTAGGTATCAACAAGATACCGGTTGAAAAATTGTATAAAAACTTCAGTTTGGGATTTATTGAAGTTTACCATAGACTTCCAGCAAATATTATACAAATCGCATCAGAAAACGATAGCAAAACGATGTGCTGATTGGGATTTAATGAGAATACTCTACACAGTATTGCGTCTCTTCATTTTTATGAAATCAATTCCGTACATCAAACTCACTGAATGACATACCGGAAACTGGTAATATATTGCGGATCACATAGTACGTCTGTGCTCGTTGTTGAGCAAAATATTGCACAACCATCGATATCGTTTCATCATTAATCGAGTGAACTAGGACACATTCAACCTGGCTAGTGTGGAAATACCCAATATTTGGAAACCTGTAATGAAACTGAAAAACGGTTTACTGAACTGTACTGAAACGGTAAGCCGAGAAGAGAAGTGGAAGTAACCAAGTGACCTATGATTGAAAATAGACCATCTACTCAGCAAACATCGATGTTACTTGACCATATTCGCGATAAAATACTTTCAAATCTACAGAGATTACTTGCATATTCTTACAAAAAATTGTATAGTTACCTCAATCAACCATGGTTTTAGTGTATTATCGATTATAATATCATAACCATAACATTCAAAGCAGTGACGATCTGTAGCAATAACTGGAGCTATGGCTTTAAGAGAGTGGATAATAAGCCAACTTATTTGATCGAATAATTTTTCCGTTACAGCTTTTCCCCTTGTACTCTCTAAGTGAAGCCGCAGATTATGCACACTCAGCTTTCCCCCATGTAATGAGTTATACTCCCCCTGAAAATATTAGAAACATTCTATTATCGTAATGGTTGGTGGTACGGAAAGAAATAATCCCAAGGTACAGATTATTTGATACAGAAATATCAACAAATATTTTATTTAAATGCGATTCTTACTATGTTCACATAACGTACTTGCGAAATGAGAAGGAAATAATTTTAAAATACTTGTGGAAGCTGAGGAAAATCAAGGTGAAATTATAGAAGCTGGTACTAGTGTAGTTGTTCAATAATTTTGGAAATAGTAATAGAATTATTTATCACATACTGAATATGAGAAATGACATTTTCGAATTTTATCATTTCAAGTATTTTAAAAAAAATTGGATTTGATAATTTAGGAAACACTTGCTACATGAATAGCATTTTACACAAGTATTGTTCATGACGGAGAATTTCAAGAACGAGGTTTCAATATTGAACGATAATGTTTCCTACTTATTCACCAAACTCAAACAATTGTTCATGCAGTTGCAGTTTCGTAAGAATGTATCATCTTTCCCATCAACCGATTTCCTGGAGTCTTTAAAGACCACTAGATACTCGTTAGGACAAGAGGATTGCTCTGAATTCTCGGGGTGCTTGTTGAATACTCTTCGTGAGCAAAGAAATAGCAGAATCACTCCTGACCGCTCTGGATTGAATGATTCCGTATAGTCTACCTAGTCTTGTATTTGTAGATTTTTTGCTGGAAAAATCCTCACTTGTTTACTTTGTAGTAGGTGAATGTTCAAGAGGTAGCAAAAACGTATGTGATTTTCTGGAACTTCAACTAGTGTTTCCCAATATGACTGATAACCAGTCCGTGCAAGCTTATTGTTAAATCATCTGAAAATAGAACTTTTAACGGGTGATGATCAACTGTATTGCCAAACATGCGCAAACTAACTGACTATTATAAGAAAACAACTATAGCTGAGGCATCAGTCAATCTGATAATAACACTGATGATCTTCAAACGTGACTCAACCTCTGACTGAAACACCAAACGCTTACGAAGGTTCGAAATAGATGAACACTTCAATCTAGCAAACCACTATTATAATCTTCTAAAAACTGTTTGTGGTTCTTGATAAATTGATTCTATCCGACCAAGATCGGATGTGAACTAATCTAAGGAGCTCAGGAGACGTTAGAAAATTTCAGTCGCAAAATATCAGTATCTAGCGTAATAGATAGAAATAAGATACGTAGACATTTTTGTCTATCTGCTGATATTGAACATAAATAGGTTTTTTCTCTTTAGCTGAAGCTTGTAGTTTTTCCGACATGGCTCTTCTTCAAAATATTTCATCTGGATGAGGAAGTGTGTCGGAAATATGAAAATTACCGGAAATTGGTCAATGAAACGCAAAATATGCATTGTTCATACAAATTTATTGTATAACCTTCAAAATAGGCCCTTCATGCCAACGAATAACGAAACTTTTGATAAACGCATGTCACCTATCGACTGCCTTCAAATGGTAGTGTGAGTATTGGATAGCCTTGTGAGATGATGCGTTATAGTGGTGCTAAATCCACGAGTATTCTTTCCACATACCTGGTCTGTCGTGACGAATTTGCTGTCTCAAACGCCGTTTAACGCTCACAGTATATCGTTTACCTACTGTCTCAACTGTCTCGCCAGAATTCCGATTACCAAATACCGAAATAATCTAAAAACTGTTAACATTACCTTCACTTTATATCTACTTTGAGAGTTTCTTTCGATTTTGGCTCAGTGAGATGGCGCCATACCGAAGCTTATTGATTGGTTTGCATATCAAATTCATAAACCCATGAATGTGAATTCGAAATTGATTCGTTCTAACATGTCTTCAGCAAAGTTTATCTGATTGAGTTTTTGCATAAAATTCAAGTCTTTTTGGCACTTATAGAGCGGCAACGCATTCCATGCCGTGAAAATCGTTCAAAATGATACAAACTAATTCGTCGACGTTTCAGCAGTTATTTTTTCCAGGCTCCAACGATTATTTTCAGTCATCATCTTCTTAACTTTAGCAATATTAAGTTCATTTTTGAATATTGAAGGCCTACCAAAACGAAGCAAATCTCTCACCACATCCCGACCACATTTAAATGCACTATACCACTCATTCGCACATATGTTTGATGAAGTTGATTAATCGCGAATCTTATGTAACATTTTCAGCGCGTCGGCACACTATTTTCGATGTAAATTTTCACATTTTCATCCATAGAGGTGAATTGACTAAATGAGTACTGTAAACAATCTAAATGACGGGTGGCGCTCGAACTCCTCGTCAAGTAGGCTTCTTAACTGATTTACTCCCGATACTTTCTTGACAGAATGTACTCCGTATGTACTCTCTTCATTATATAGATTCCTCAACACTTCTCTCATTTGATGTGTGTTATTACGATTCTCTTAATTTTCATTTCCCATTTGGTTTTCATGTGGAATAATTTGAGGCTTCTTAGTTTCGTAATTTTCATTTGCAACATTGATCATTTAGAGAATTTCTAAAGTTGGTTCTCGACTCAATTAATATTATACGAGGTTTCCTGCTTCAGTTATCATTTTATGATTCCTAATGTTTGCTAAGTGGAAAATGTTTACTGAAAACATTTTGAAATTTTTCAGTAGGTGTACTGTCATCATCTATCAAGATAATTTGGTGTCAAATTTCTTCCTAGACTCCTTTGGGAAGTCTAGGGTGGTTTTCATGTAGCATAATTTGAGACTTCTCCGTTTCACAATTTTTATTTGTTCCAACCATCATCTATTGAGGTAATTTGGTATCAAATTTGTTTCTAAACTTCCTAGGGGATTATATTCCAAATCTTACAACAGACAATAAAATAATCTAGCACTATAATTAAACATCAGCATCATTGGCTGTCAAATATATTCAAAACAAAATGTGGACCTTTATATGTGTTTAATTCACGCGATTCTATAATTATGGGTTTAACAGAACCTATTTCAATTATTAAAGACAAAAATTTTAAATATCTCTACTTACTCCATGTTTCTGTACAGATACGTTAGTCAAATGTACATACATATTATCGAGTTCTGCAACACTAGAATCATACTTGACTGTACAAAATCGACAGAATCCCAATTTGAACTGATATGCCTTCAAAGGTCTAAATGAAGTAACCAAAACATACAGTCGTAGATCGAATTTCTTTCCTCCGATAAGCAAAGGGTTGTCTATATATCTGTAAAGAAACCAAATGCAGAATACTGAGAAAACATAATCTGATCCGATGCATCAGACATTAACGAAATACTGGGAATCAATTCAATGACCTTCATTACGTAACGTAATAGTAATGATTCGACTAGATGTATATCTAGAATCAGTCTTATCAGTCTTGGTCATCTTCGGCTGATGCTGCCTTGGTTAGCGAAACGCGCATCAAGATATAGTATTTTTGTTTGGGGAATTTTTTTCCAAAATAGTAAATAGTTGAGGAAATGAATGACATTGAATGAAATATTCATAAATAGGTGGCAAATTCGTTAAGAATTTTGAGGCTTACAAAATTGAATATTTTCAAACCTAAAACATAATATATTCAAACTGAAAAAGTAATCAAATGCTATTTTGCAGGAAAGGCAAAATCAAAAGGATGAAACGGCAAACTAGATGAATTCAAAGGACTGTCTTTATTGGATTCTACAATATGCTTGGAAGCACACTATTCTTGGATCCAATTTGCATTGAAATGCTTGCAAATGGCTGCATTGTTCTAATATATCGGGGTCGGAAAATACTTTAAATGACAGATAGTTTGTCAAAAAAATCATCATATTAGTGATTTCAAACTTCTAGAGTATTGTGATGAAATTATTATTTTTGTTGAAACGTGTCCCATTTCCTGTTCAGACACAATAATACCATTCTTGATCAGGAAGCAAGAGATATCTGAAAGTCCGTTGCATTCATTCGGTGTTCATGGCTATTGGATCCCATAATCACTATCGCGTGTAAAGGGTGATATTCATATGTTACCAGCAAACCTCCGTAAATATCTTGCCAAATAAATATAGTTTGAGAAACTAAACAACACACCTTTAAAGAACATCGAACTAAAAAGTTAAAAACGGTTTCTTTATATAAGCTTAAAACAATAACGAACGAAAAATACTAGTATTATTGTAAAAAAAGCAATGGGCGCTTGATATACAAAAAATATGGCACAAAGCGCCCACGTTTTTTTCACAATAATACTAGTATTTTTCGTTCATTATTGTTTCAAGATTATTTAAAAAAAAATTTTTTAACATTTCAGTTCGATGTTCTTTAAAAGCGTGTTTTTTAGTTTTTTAAACTATATTTATTTTTTAGTTTCGTATGCTATAAAAGCGTGTTTTTTAGTCTTCCTGAACTATATTTATTTTATCTAAACTTTGGGATCAATCAGCCGTATATTGTTCAGAAAAATGACCATTAATATTTTACGATTCCGGAGAAGGAGCCTGAAAATCAGCTACCAAGCCCAAGGCAGCAGGCGCGCAAAGGAGGGTTACAAATGAGGCAGCAGGCGAGCGTGGTAATAAAAAAATACTTTTTTCAAATGACGAAATACCTGTAAAGTGAGTCCGAATTATATGAAGGAGGTTACATACAGCGCCATCTGCTCGCGAATAGATCAAGCAACAATGTCGATATATCAAGGATGTTACATACAGCGCCATCTGCCTGCGAATAGATCAAGCAACAATGTCGATAATTCTATCAAATATAGATCTTGACCTTGAGAGTTACAAGCAAACAAAAATACATACATACATACAAGTGAAGCTAATATAAAGCGTGTAAAAAGAACCTTGTTGAAAGAAAATGATGCTTCCACTACCTAAACAGAAGATTATAAGCAGCAGTCAAGGATTTCTGTGAAAGAGTGAGGTAAATTACTGTTTTTTGCGACACAATTTCGACTCCAGGAAGAGTGGATATAAATAATCCAAATGATGTCTGAACTTCAAAATCGTCGAAATTGGATAGAGATGCCATTTGTAGTTTCATGAATTGAATCATCAAAGTATTTGTGATCCATCGACTAATGAAATTAAAAAAATCTTGTCGCATATTTTCATTTTGATTTCCGTAGATTTATTGACTCAACTTTCTCATTCATCATACAGTAACAAAAACGGCAACACAAGGTTTCCTTGACACTTTACGAAAAGTGACGAAGTAGATCTGAAAAATTTATGAAACAAAGTACTCATTCACTCCTCAAATAGTAAATTCGCAAATCAAGTTTATGAATTAGGTGAAGAAATTGTCACAAATAAATGACACAAAGAAACTACGAAAAACAAAGCCAGAGTCGGGGAAGATTTTTGGCTGTTATTCAGTCAATGATTGCGATAAGGAAGATGTGATAATGCCATCGATTTCATGGGTGTGAATGGGTGGCTCAGATACCTACATGTTAGCCCAACTGACTAGGAGATTATGTACTTGAGTAGCACCTGATATCCAGTGGATATGCAGTTTCATGTCCATAATACATATGGATAATCTTGCATATAGAATGAATATCCATGGGATATCCATATTTGGATACGTTCTAGATGGATACACAGATAGCCATTAATGGACATATGTAGGATGAATATAATCTTGCTTTATCATTTTTAAACATTATACCCTAAATTGCACATGAGACCGAATAAAATTTTATCATTTAGGGAGGTTTGTAATGATATTTGAACTTCTCATGGTGTTCCGAAATCACCCGATTATGTCAAGTAGTTAAAGTACGTATAATGTGTAATCGTCAACTGTGAAGGAGAGGAGGTAGGTCCTGCTATTCGACGTCATTTGTTACTTGTTTCATGACGACATTTTGTTTTATCTTTCACATATTACGTCGACTTGAAGGGTGAATATCTCCTCCATGAAAGTGCTGAAGCTGCTGAATTCAGGAAGACTACATTTTTCCATTTCAGGTTGAAACAAGTATCGGGACATTTGAAGATCAGGTGACCCTACGAGCTCAGATTCAAATCTGTTTCATGTGAATATAATACCAAGAGGTGATTCTTCATCACACATGAGTCCGATTGTCCAGAGATACTGAATTTTGAAAAGCAAATTGAGAGGGGTTAAAAATTCAATAAAATCGATGATATGTGATGACTGGAAAAGATATTTATCTTTGTACAAGGTGTAATAACCTGAAACTGAAAGAAAAACGTATCTTGAGCTGCATTTCATTTTAGGCCTTCAACAAAGGACATATTGTAAAATTCAAGAGATTTTCTTGAAGGAGCAAATGTCCACAATGAGAGATGGATCGCTCTAATTCTTCTCATAAGTTTCAAGTCCACCGAGGTGAAATAAGTTGCGAATTGACCACCAGTAATTGTTCTAGAAAAAAACAACTGGGTACCATGTCATCAAGGTAAGATGATTCCAGTTGACTATCTAACGTCAAACCTGGAAATCTCAACTCAAACATAAATTTCAATTATTGATCATTCAGTTTCAGGTTTTGTAGAGAAAAGAGCACATTTAGTTTTCATACCACGAATTGGATATGGACGAAAAATGGAGATTTTCTCTTTGGACTACACAGACTTTATTCAGACTACTTGATTGTTCGACTGCATTGTGAAATGATGCCGTCCCTACTCTCAAATCTCACAATTATTCCGTCCTGTTGCAGTACAGTAAAAATCTTCGATAAATGGTATGCGGTTGATTAACATTAAGTACTTCGTTCTACTCATTCAATCAACCACTATCCCAACTGTGTGATTTTTCTCTTCCACAGCGTTTCATCTCATCAGTGATGAATATTATATGTTGAAAGTTAAGTCCTAAAATGTTTAGACCTCTTAGGTCTATCTTTCGATAGCAGATTATTCAGCTTATTCAGTTTATTCAGTTGGTTAACGAAAAATAGATTTTAACAGATCAGTTATAGACATATATTCTACAAATTTCTACTCGTTTTAATTATTTTCAATTATTGATTTGGAGATCGTGAAATCGATAGAATAAATTTTAATCCAAGAGTCTGGAACTCTTGTCTTGTAAATATTTATTTCCAATAAAAAGTTTTATTCTCCAACTCATGTGAGTTACTCACAGAGAACTATACAAAAAGACTATTTCATACTCACTTTGATATAACGTAACTTTCTTTAGACAATTGTTGTTGAAAGGGTGTTTTCGATTCTCTCGACCATCTTTTCAACTTTGATAGCTTGTTTATCAGAAATATTCCGGAACCTTGTGATCGACCACATGGTTTCATGATCCAGGTACTCTGTGAATTAAAAAGCGTTGCATATATGTTCCAATACAGTGAGCGTTATACAGATCTGCCATATATCTCATCATTAAGACCGGATCACGAATACAGCAGTTTGAACTCTTTTATCTCAAGTATACCACGAAAATCAGAGATCAGCTAAGATTGAGATCCCGCCGCTCTGTCTTTAGTAGAAAACAATGAGTGAGAAGTAGAAAACAATGAGTGCTTCGTCTTGCAATGATAATAATATCGTCTTTATTATCTAATAATACATTTAAAGCAAATCAATCAGGAACAGTTCATTTATTATATGAGGATAAAAGGCAAAATTCAATTTACATGATGACAAGTCATCATTCAATTGCTCTTCCACTTGACCTCAAATAACATGCAAAACGGTGTTGATGAGGTTATAAGACAATTATATTGTTCCTAAACCTTGAAGTGAAGCATTGAGGAAAATAGTGTTCCATGTAAATGACACTGTTCCATGTTATAATGTTCCATGTAAATGACATTTTATGTAAATGATATCTGTTACAATTCCATAACAAATATTTATATCACAAACTGAATGAGAAAAAATAATTTTCATGCTTTTCAATAGTCATAGGAAAGTATTTGTTTCGAAACGATTTTTTACTCCCATAAGCCACCCTAAGATTCCATACAATTCACAATATCATTACTTTTCTTTCACGTTTTGTTTACTCTTGTGGTTTACAGTTCTTGTTCCTTGAAAGATATTTTTCACAATTTTTCGGGTAGTATATTCCTTGAAATAGAATATCGAGCATACATTCTACTGGTTGAGAGCAGCTTTATAACATCCGGAATTAAGATCATCTCCGTTATAACAAATCATTCTTGAAGCAATTGAATGTTATTAGAATTTTCAACACAATTGACATTCAAGTATCAAGATAATGTAGAAAGAGAAAAAAAAATTCTCTGAACGTGAAAGAAAGAATGAAAATTAACAGTCATGGCAAGCACCACTATGAACAACTTACCTGTGGAGCTTTTCTATATTCTTCCACGAACATATTATAATCCGCTGGTAATACAAAAGTGACAGGTATGAAATCCAAATGCAAATATTTTGAATCTCCTCTATCTGCCATACTACTCCCTTCTTTCTCCAGGTCTCTTCGGTAACGTTTTATATTCTTGACTAGGAGATCTTTTCTGGATATTTCGTAGTGATTTGGAAAATGGTTTATCAATCTGAAAATTAATTCAATCATATTGAAATAATCCACTTATTTATATTATATTTGAACTAGTAGTTTACTTAAGTGACCTTTCATTTAACCTGTCTTTGACATTCCCTACAAGGAATCTCAGGTAAGACGTCGCTATTTTTTAATTCGCACAAGTTTCCACTTTTGAGGTTTGGCATATGGGTTTGATTGGTTCATTCACAGATTTCAAGTAAACAATGTTTTCTCGGTTTTTGGAGTTCTACAGTTCATTTTGTGAGATACTGGTTCCCAGTTTAATGGCACGACATTTACAAAATTGATTGTTAGTCAGCAAGTTCATAAAATTTGGTTACACCGACGGATTCACACCAGATATGAAAATTTCTCCATCCTCTCAAACCAGTGTTCCTCCTTGTGGATGATCTGAACACTGGTTTAAGAGGAAGTTCAAAGAAGATGCTTATATGTTGTCCAGCGACGCATTCAGCCAAGTTGGATATGTAACATATGGAAACCTTTATTCAAGCGTAAAAAAGTCAACCCCCACTAAACCGGTGAAGCAGTAATAGGGAAGAGGGGATAGGTGAAAGCGTTCTAATGACCTTTAAATAGTCATCTCTCGGTGGAATAGTCCAGTCATAACCCCAAGACGAGTGTGGATACTGATAATCGAAACATAGTTTGACATCTTTTCAATTTTTATTTCATTTTTGATTGTTTAATTTTTCAATTTTCTGCTTATTTTCATTTTATTGTATTCATTGCTCAATATAATTGTTATTTTCAGCTATTAATTTCAATTTTTAATTTTATTTGTCCTTTGGGAGATTTCAAATCATATTATATCATATATATCGGAATTAGTAAAATTCACCATGAAACATTGGCAACCACTTTCTAACAAATAGCTATTCAAAGTCAATCACTTCGATTTTGTAATAATTGTCATGTTGTATTCCAAAAACTTATGTATGAAGGGTATTGAATTTTCATTTCAGTTTTGTTCCATCTCACACAAGCAAGTTTCAATTCCTATTTTCATTGAAATCTTAGTGTTTTTAGTATTTATTCAAGTTCTATCTTCCTATAAAATTCCAATCACAAGAATAGCTACCTACATTGTAGAAAATATCCCGTTACTATCTGCTGACCTTGAAGATTTCAAAATTATCAAATCAGTTTCATATATTCTTTTATTGAAATCATTTTCATATCATTATGAGCTGAGCATTTGAGTATCACATATTTCAAAACAATCATAATATGACAAAAGGTGACTAGGAAAAATTCAGTTAAAATTACTTCCATTTTACGCGTGGGTTGGGCTACCTATCGAGCGGGTCCCCAGGTGGCGGATAGGAGAACGGCCAGGGGACTGGAAGCCCTGTCCGGGAAGCCAATGTGGCCTTACGGACGGGGTCGCCGGACTCCTAGTCAGTGGCAGAAATAAGTAGCGTGAAGGGCTCTAAAACTCCCCAAAACTTTACAAAACATGCCACCGCTGGCCGCAGGGTCATATGCGGTTAAGAACGATCCCCTTGGGAAACTGAGCGAAACCTCATTGGAATCAGCCTTCCTATGGTAATGCGGGGCTCTGCCAGAGGTGACTAACTCTTCCCTTGCTACTCGTAGGATCACACATGAATGAAACGAACACAAAAACGGAAACAAGAAAAAAACCAATCCCAAGGCTGGACAGAAGTGCTTACCTCAATCTAAGGCGGTGGCTGGGGATGAACAGAAATGTCCACCCCAATCTACCGCTTGGAATGAGGCTGGAATAGCAGATCACCTTGAGATGTAATACACAGGCCAAGGTGTAGGCGCATTTGCGTCGCCGAGGCCAAAAAGAGAAAGAGAGCGAAAGAGGCAGGAGTGGCAGCTACTATAAATGCACCCTCCTCCTCCTCCACTCCACCTCCAACAGCAAGGGAATTTCTTTTGGCGGGGCTCCGCCTTGATTAAAGGCAAGAAACCGGCTGCTCCTGCAGAAAAACTCCCTTACTTGTGCACCTCCACGGAGGGAACCCCAAGAAGGTTGAAGAAGCCGCGCAACGACAGTAACGTCGCTGCACCTTCCAAAACTTTCGCGGAGGCCATCGTGAGACACCTCAAGGTTGCCAAAGAGAGTGTGTGTTCAGCGAGTCTTAGCCTACACCTGCCAATATCAAGGAGATGTTTCCTAGTGACCTGTCCTCCTTCCTGGAAAGGCCAGGATGGATGATGTCCTAGGACAACTCCTTGGGAGGATATACAATCGGTCACATGTGACCTAAGTGCTGTGATTATTAGTCTCTATTCGTGAGGATTTAGAAAATCGTAAGAGATAAAAAGATAAAATGTGGCAAAGTTGACTATTTCCTGGTACTGTTGGATGATTGCGTAAAAGTCACTTTAGCTGTTATTAGTAAATTACATGGTTCATTATTCATGTGAAGTAACACATAAATTCACAGATGATGAATAAAATATCTTGTGAACATGAAGTTGACGAAATATTTTCAAGCATATCCGGAGATCGAATTGAAGTTTTTATTATATTTACTTATTAGCAATTCATAAGGTGAGTCGTGAAAAATTTGAAATACGATTAGTAGAGGTAGTAGATTTTCGGATTGGTAACGTTAACAGATTTTATGCTTGAAAAATAACTCAAGTTATTGAAAAATTCTGGTGTGACCGATTCGGTTGCCAGTGTCTTCGCGAATTTCTCAGTTTATATGGATTTTGAGGATAATTATGATGAAAATTCCTGACAAAATTTACAAGAAGATGATAGAATATCCTTGGGCTTATAATTTGTTTTTTTTTTCCAAATATAGGGGTAAATAAACTTGGTGTTTTACTTTCTTCAATGTCGACTTCATCTTCAGAAGCTGCATGAAGGTTCTTCTCTATCAGAAAATTCAGTAGATCCAAAACTACTTCTCAGTTGTGGCCGCAATTGATTCAAAATTGTAGACACTGTCTACATCATTTACAATGATTTTTGGTAATATTTTCTGAAAAAGGCTATGTTTTTACACGCTTTATATTAGCTTCACCTGTATGTATGTATATATGATTGTTTGTATGCACGTTTGTGTGTAACTCTCAAGATCGGGATCTGTATTGACAGAATTATCGACATTATTGCTTGATTTATTCGCGGGCAGATGGCGCTGTTCGTAACCTAAATGATATTTCTTAATCTATTCGCGGGCAGATGGCGGTGTACGTAACTATCAATTATTGCTTGATCTATTTGCGAACAGATGGCTCTGTACGTAACTATCAATTATTGCAATCAAATCAAATCAAAATGTACTTTATTGTTGAAGATGAAATCTCATTGACAAAGTGTTACTATTCTAAGAAATATAAGAGTCACAACTTAAAAGATATTGTCGAAGATAAAATATTATTGTCAAAGTGTTATTATTTTAAAGAATAT